GAACAGAAAACAATATTACTTTTGCTTTTCTCTCAGCATACATCTCTTCATGCCCTCTATTATTACATATTTTTATATGCTCAATAAACAGTGCCTTCCTGTGAAGGCAGAAACCGTATCATACCTCTTTTGCATTATATACACTGCTTTACATATATTAGACCTTTAATGCATCTGTTGGCTAAATAGATATGTTTAACAAAACAGTTCCTATAATTTGGGACTATTCCCTTGATTTTATAGGACTATCAGGGATCTTATATTTACTGAATCCAAACCCCATCACTTAAAATTAGGGAATAAGACACTGGCAGTTAGATCCCTACTATGGTGGGGAGTCTTATTGCTAGGCTAGCCCATCCCACTGTATCAAGTTGCAGTCTTTCATATTAGGCAAGCCTATCCTGTTCCTAGGGAAAATCAAGACAACTAACAACAGGAAAGTCTACTTGAAGTAAGGCAGATAAAATTTACCTGATGCTTGCTTACAAGGTTAGACAAATAACCCCCTTATAGTACCTAACGTGTCTATGGTTAACTTGTAACAATCTGTTAAAGAGAGGAAGAGTGACAGATCTCGTTTTATTTTTTGAGATTTTTTCACTCTTTGTCCAGGCTAGAGTACAGTGGCACAATCTTGGCTCACAGTAACCTCTGTGAGAGTAATATATATTTTTTTAAGACAGAAGTCTCACTTCTTGGCTCACTGCAACCTCTGCCTCCTGTGTTCAAGCGATTCTCCTGTCTCACACTCCCACCCCTCTTCCCCTTCACTGCCCCGTGAGTTGCTGTCCTCTAGATCCTATAATCCTGACACTGTGCCTGGCTAATTTTTGTATTTTTAGTAGAGATAGGGTTTCACCATTGTGGCCAGGTTGCTCTTGAACTCCTGACCTCAGGTGATCTGCATGCCTTGGCCTCCCATAGTGCTAGGATTACAGGCATGAACTGCCACCCTCAGCCAGAGAGTAATAGATCTTTAACCTGGTATTCAAATACCCTCAAATCCCTGCTCCTAAACTTCCTAACTGTAGGCCTATTAATCCCATGTCTGAAGGCCAAGATTATGCAGAAGTGAACTGCCAATGGGTTTACACGGTTCTCTCCAGGTGGAATGAATTCCTTTACTGTTATACTTCCAAAGCTTTCCAGTCCCGTAAGTCTATCAAATACCACTTACTCTGTGAAGCCTTGCCCTCTTCCCTTCAGCTAAAAGTAACCTCCACCTGGCTCAATGGCTCATTCCTGTAATCCCACCTCTTTGGAAGGCTGAGGTGGGAGGATCTCTTGAGCCTGCAAGTTTGAGACCAAGGGCAACACATAACCTGTCTACAAAAAATAAAAAATTAGCTGGGCATGGTGGCACGCATCTATAGTCCCAGCTACTATAGGGAGGCAAAGGCAGGAGGATCACCTGAGGTCAGGAGTTCAAGGCTGCAACGAGCCATAATCACGCCACTGTACTCCAGCCTGGCAACAGAGCAAGATCCAACTCATAAAAGTAACCTCCACATTCTGAAGTTTGCTATTTGCTTATGGCATCAAATCTCTCTCATACTTTGTTACTTATGTCTTCTCTTCCGAACTGTAATTAGCATATTGAAGGCAGTGTTTGTGTCTGATTGTCTTTTTATCTTAAAGAGCAAGCTTGCAAATAAGAGGCCATGAATATGTTACCTACTTCAAGTTACCATCATCTCTCACTTGAGTTTCAGCAAAAGCCTTCCAACTGTCCCCTAGATTCTACTCTTGCTTTTACCCAGATCCTTTTGAAACACATTGGCTCAGGTTAGTGCCTTATTTGGGCCATCCATAGGCTTTCCAAGTTCTCAACGTGCCGTCTAAGTTTGTGACTATCACCGGCCTCTTGCTGTTTTTTTTTTTTTTTTTTTTTTGAGACAGAGTTTCGCTGTTACCCAGACTGGAGTGCAATGACACGATCTCGGCTCACCACAACCTCCACCTCCTGGGTTCAAGCAATTCTCCTGCCTCAGCCTCCCAAGTAGCTGGGACTACAGGCGTGCACCACCGTGCCCAGCTAATTCTTGTATTTTTAGTAGAGATGGGGTTTCACCTTGTTGACCAGGATGGTCTTGATCTCTTGACCTTGTGATCCACTCGCTTCGGCCTCCCAAAGTGCTGGGATTATAGGCGTGAGCCACCGCGCCCGGCCCTGATTTTTTTTTTTTTAAATCATGCTAAGCACCTCCTGCCTCAAATGTTCTTGCATTTCATTTGATGCTCTCTCAGTCTAGTACAGCAGCTGTTAGAAGGTGGTTTGGAATACTGGAGATTGTTTGCTTCCTGACTTCAATGAGGTGCTGAAGTCTTCTTCCATAGAAATCCTCTTCAACCACTCTCTAGCACCCTTGTAACTCTGTCCTGGAATTCTGCTTTAGTTGAGTCTCAACCCTGAATCTGGAGTGCTTAGTTCAGAAAGTTGGCTTTCCCATTTACAACATGTATGATTTGGGGCAGGTAAATTAACCTTTTTCTGCCTGTTTCCTCAGAAGTAAAATGGGAATAATAATAACACATATTTTAAAACAGTGTCCATCTGGAACCTAGCAAGAGTTCACTAAGTTATTACTTTTATTCATAGTTCTTACTACATTTTATTACATACTGGTCTTGTCTTCTCCACTAGAAGTAAGTTCCATTAGGGTAGGACTTTGTATTACTGATGACTTTATCCCTATGTTGCTCAGGCTGGTCTTGAACTTCTGGGCTCAGGTGATCCTCCTGCCTAAGCTTCCCAAAGTGCTGGGATTATAGGTGTAAGCCACTGTGCTCGGCCTTGATCAGTTATGATGTTAAAGAAACAATAAATTTATATTATAAAAGATGTAAAATTTATTCTAAGTCTACATCATGAGCTCCCAAATTGGTAATAATAGAAAACAATGGTTGGAAGAAGGGGAAGAAAGATAAATTAATAGGTGTGGTAAATAACCACCATCACCTTTCTTGGGGCAAATGAACTACTAGGCTTCTGGGCCAAGTGCAGTGGCTCACGCCTATAATTCTAACACTTAGGGAAGAAGAGGCAGGAGGATCATTTGTGCTTGGGAGTTTGAGACTTGCATGGGCAACATGGTGAGACCCTATCTCTACAAACAAATAATAAATTAGCTGGGCAAGGTGATGTGCATTTGCAGTCCTACATACTGGAAAGGTTGAGGTAGGAGGATTTCTTGAGCTCAGAAGTTCAAGGCTACAGTGAGCTATGATCATGTCGCTGCACTCCAGCCTGGGTTAAAGAGTGAGACCCTGTCTCTGAAAAAAACCCAAACTCTTCTCCCTCACAACAGGCTTCTGTTTGGGCATTATTGTAAACTTACTTATACATTAAACATCTAATTAATCTCTTGAGATGCTAATTTATAGAAAAAAAAAAGAGACAAATTAATGATGGCTACATTTGAAGTCAGGCTTAAAATAATAACAATTCTTAAACTTTTAGACGGTTTCATCTTCCAGTGCATTTTCATATACATTATACCTTTTGTTCCCAAATTCTGTAAAGTAGATTTGAGCAGGTCTTATTTAGTTTATGTATGGGGAAAAATACACTCGATCTTAGCCAAAAGGCTGAGAAGTGATATGAGGAAAAATAAAAGCTACCTCAGAGAGGCTGATTTGCCTAAAGTTGCATGAATTTTTTTTTGAAATGGGATCTTGCTGTTACTCAGGCTGGAGAGCAGTGGTGTCATCACAGCTCACTGCAGCCTTGGCATCCCAGGCTCAAGCAATCCTCCTGCCTCAGCCTCACAAGAGGTGTGTGCCACCATGCCCCAGCTGATTTAAAAAAATTTTGTAGAGATGGAGTCTTGCTATGTTGCTCAGGCTGTTCTCAAACTCCTGGGCTCAAGCTATCATTTTGCTTTAGCGTCCCAAAGTGCCAGATTTCAGGCATAAGACACTGCACCTGGTCTACTTACATGGTTGGCATGAGCTGAAACACAGTACCCTGGTGCTTTCAATATTAGAGTTTCCATTACTTTCTAACTGCACCTCCCTAACCTTCAGCCTCACCTTCTCTCTCACTCTAATATCTCATAATCATATATATTTTTTTGCTCTTTATATGTCTTCTAAGGGAAATGACAATTTTAACTTTGGTATAATATTTATTACACCTATCCACTTAAAAATTTTTTAATGTAGAAAAATTGCATTAAGACATCAATATGCAATTATTTTCCCACCACTCAAAAATTTTAATATGTATTGAAGATTTTGGCCAAAAAATGTGCAAAGAGAAGACAAGGAATATAAAAATAACTTACAACAAATTTGTAAAACACCTCATATATTAAAATTGGTAAGACAAAAATATGATTTATAATACATGTTTGCCATTGTGGTGTATATAAGAAAATGGTACTCATACTAAATTCAACCTACTTATCAAAATTCTTAATATAAGAATGAACATATTCAGGTGGCTATAAAGATAGGTATTAAAAAAGTTTCTTTTGGAAAACATTCTTTGGTGCTCATAAAACTGCATGTTATTATCTATTTATCATAAAGTCTTTTCAGACTTTACTACATACCTAGTTACAACTGGAAATGAAAAAAACATAAATTAGATATGACTATAGAAAGTAGTTATGGGGTATTTTGATTTCATGGTGCTCAAATGTTTATGGAAAAGTTTTACTTACTAAACTTTGAAATAACTACCTATTCTTTGATATTTCTTATATATCTATGTGTTCCAGATATTAGAAAAAGTTATATTCATGGGCAGATAATTCAACTGTGAGTTGATAATTATTTATAATTCTCTTAACTGGCTGTTTCACAAGATTATGGAGCTAAGAAAAGATGAAAGTTTACCACTGCTTGGATACCAGCCTGATAAGCAGCTTGAAATGCCAAATGCGAACAAGAAATGAAATATTCTACCTTAACATAATATAAGTGAATGAATGACGTGAACACAACTTAGTATAGTCATTTACCCTAATAAATTAATTATTCATTTGCAAATATTACCAAAAGTAAAAAAAATTTATTTTAGAGAGTGGTTTTTGTAATACATCAAAAAACTGTGATGTTATACACTTCCCTATTCTCACTGCTTATCTCGTATCAGTGGTTGAAGTTTCTCCCAAATATTTTAGTTTACATTTAAAGTAGCAATACAGATATTACTTAATGGACTTAAGTTATAATTAGAAACCAGTTTTATATACAGAAAATCCACAAATATAGAACTTTTATTCCTATTTTATCCTTAGGCTACACAAAAAATGGACTAAAAATTTTTCATTTGGGTCTTTGTAATAAACATGTAAATACATATTTACAATGGAGATGCTTTCTGATAGAAAGTATGCAGAAGTAATTTTGGACCACAATCCATCCTATCTATTTTTGAAGATGATGTGATAAATCATGTTTACTCAAAATCTGATTCCTTTTATATACATAATTCAAATAATTACTCCACTTGTACCATTAATGCTTCATTCTATATTTAAATTTCCTTTAAGAAAGATTTCTTGATCAGTAGTAGGGAACTCTGTTTCTGTACAGTTATGTGTAATTTTTATCCTTCTGGCAATATTACAAATACTGAGTCATTTAATCTTGATTGTTCATACTCCAGGGGCAATTCTTGAGTTATCTCACATGATGTAAGTACCATCTTTGCAGTATTTCATGGACTCCATTTGTTTTGTCATAGCCAGAACATCATGAAATCCAGTACTTAGGCCAGACATATGTTGAAAGTATGCCTCCTTTTCCACTTGAATTGTTAAATTGTTTACTCCAGCATCTTTAAGTATTCCTGTAACCTGTTATAAAAATCCAGACATTGTGAAGCATTTAGTATACATGTATTAATATGTTGTACATAGTTGATATGGGTTGAGTATCTTTTTTTTTTTTTTTTTTTTAAGACGGAGTTTCGCTCGTTACCCAGGCTGGAGTGCAATGGCACGATCTCGGCTCACCGCAACCTCCGCCTCCTGGGTTCAGACAATTCTCCTGCCTCAGCCTCCCGAGTAGCTGGGATTACAGGCATGCGCCACCACGCCCAGCTAATTTTTTGTATTTTTAGTAGAGACGGGGTTTCACCATGTTGACCAGGATGGTCTCGATCTCTTGACCTCGTGATCCACCCGCCTTGGCCTCCCAAAGTGCTGGGATTACAGGCTTGAGCCACTGCGCCCGGCCCTGGGTTGAGTATCTTTAATCTGAAAATATGAATCTGAAATGCCCTAAAATCTGAAACCTTTTGAGTGCCAAGATGCTAAAAGGAAATGCTCACTGGAGTATTTTGGATTTGGATGTTCAGATTAGGGATGTTCAACTGGTAAGTGTAATGTGAGTATTAAAAAAAAAAATCCAAAATCGAAAACATTTCTGATTCTAAGCATTTTGGATGAAGAATATTAAACCTGTATCACATTTTTTTTTCTTTTTGAGATGGAGTCTGCTCTATCACCAGGCTGGAGTGCAGTGGTGCAATCTTGGCTCACTGCGACCTCTGCCTCCTGGGTTCAAGCGATTCTTCCGCCTCAGCCTCCTGAGTAGTTGGGAACACAGGTGTGTGCCACTACGCCTGGCTAATTTTTTTTTGTATTTTTTAGTAGAGTAGGGGTTTCACCGTGTTGGCCAGGATGGTCTCAATCTCCTGACCTGGTGATCCACCTGCCTCGGCCTTCCAAAGTGTTGGGATTACAGGTGTGAGCCACTGTGCCTGGCCTGTATCACATTTTTAAAATAGTTACAGGCTGGGTGAAGTGGCCCAAGGAGGCTAAGGTGGGAGGATCACTTGAGCCCAGGAGTTTGAGACGAGTCTGGGCAATATAGTGAGACCCTGTCATAATGAATGAGTAAACAAACAAATGAACAGTTACAGTAGTCCAAGATAAATCTTCAAAGTAATGTTTATCATTTAGTTAGTTAAAATGTCAGACTCTTTTTTTTTTTTTTGAGACAGAGCCTCACTCTGTCACTCAGGCTGGAGTGCAGTGGTGCGATCTTGGCTCACGGCAACCTCTGCTTCCCGGGTTCAAGTGATTCTCTTGCCTCAGCCACCCAAGTAGCTGGGATTATAGGTGTGTGCCACCACACCCATATAATTTTGTATTTTTAGTAGAGATAGAGTTTCCCCACATTGGTCAGGTTGGTCTCAAACTCCCGACCTCAGGTGATCCTGGGATTACAGGCGTCAGCCACAATGCCTGGCAAATGTTAGACTCTTTTAGGTCAGTAAATTACTGATTTGACATTCACAGTAGAAAAGGAAAACAGCCATTGTTTCCAATTTGGCATATCCAGAATAGGGCTTTAGTAACTGTTCTGATATCTATCTCCAAACATAGCATATACCCTGCCAAATGGATTATTACTAATTTAGGAATATATAAATAATAACTTATTTTTTGATAATCTACTGTGAACCAAGATGAACCAAATTCATACATGAATTTTTTTTATATTAACTTAAGCTTATCCTCTAAACACAAAACTTCATTTATTTTAGCAATTTTTAGATATAAAACAAATCTAGATGTAAAAAGTAAGTTATATTACCCTTAGATAGTTGGAAGATTAGGCCAGGCATGCTGGCTCACCTGTAAATCCAGCATTTTGGGAGGCTGAGGCGGGTGATCACCTGAGGTCAGGAGTTTGAGACTAGCCTGGTCAATATGGCAAAACCCTGTCTCTACTAAAAACAAACAAACAAACAAAAAAACACCGGTGTGATGACAGGTGCCTATAATCCCAGCTACTTGGGAGGGTAAGGCAGGGAGAACTCCTTGAACCTGGGAGGTAGAGGTTACAGTGAGCCGAGATCACACCACTGCACTCCAGCCTGGGCAACAGAGTGATAATCTGTCTCAAAAACAAACACACAAAACAAAAATAAGAGTTGGAAGACTGATAGTTTTGAATAATAAATGACTACTGAGCCATATAACTTATGATGTGTACAATTTTTGTGTATGAATTACCTCAACTGAAATTACTTTAAAAACAAAAGATCATTACCTGTTGTACTATTCTTTGTTCTAGCACATCAGATGTCACCTGTATATGAATTGTTCCTGCCACAATACTAGCAGAATGACGCCAAAAATGAGGGTCTCGATATGATATTAATCCTTCAATTTTCTGTATCTGTCAAATAAAATAGGTGATATAAATGGTCATACAGGCTACTTTACACAACACAATGGAGACGCTTTCTGATGGAAAGTAAACACACAGTTTCCTTGGCCCGGGATCACTATTAAGTTCATTAAAACAAACAAAAACAAATAAACAAACAAACAAAAAACCAGCCATAATGAAGAGAAGTCAGAAGCAGGAAGAAAGAGGAGAGGGGAAATTAGCTTAAAGTAAAGGTGCCTAAAATATTCTGATCTAAGGCTGAGGCTATAGATGTGTTGGGGGGAAAATCTCACCTAGGAATGATGCTAGTATGACAGTTCTGAGTAGGAAGGCAAATGGGTGTTACAGGTATCTTTATACCCCAAATGGGCTCTTATCAACAGCAGTACCCTTATTTTCACTGATACAGCACAACTCTGCCTATTCTAACATTTCCTAGACACAATGAACTACAAGGTTTCCTTTACACGGATACATTCATACACACATGATTTTATATAGAGATAACACATTCAAAAGATATCCTCAATGTTCAACAATAGAGGAATGGTTAAGTAAATTACTGACTACCCATACAATGTAATACTGCAGTCATTAACAATGTATTAGAATTTAATCAACATGATATTACTAAGCGGGAAGAAAATTTATAAAACACTACAGGGAAGTTTTTTTTGCCATTTTTATTTTCAAAAATTTAATATGGAAAAACAACTAGTAAAAGTGTTTCTTTACATGGCTTAAAAAATTATATATATATATATATAAAGACGGGGTTTCACCATGTTGGTCAGGCTGGTCTTGAACTCCCAACCTCAGGTGATCCACCTGCCTTGGCGTCCAAAGTGCTTGGATTACAGGCGTGAACCACCATGCCCAGCCTTATAGAACAGGCTTTTTATAGAACAGGAAGGAAACAAAAAGTGTTTCTTTCCAGGTGGTAAAATTATGTGACTTCTTTTCTTTTTTGTACTTTTCTATATTTTGAAGTTTTCTTCAATGGACATATATTATTATTGAAATAAAAAATACTTTAGGTCAGGTGAGGTGGCTCACGCCCATAATCCCAGCACTCTGGAAGGCTGAGGCTTGAGCTCAGGATTTCAAGATCAGCCTGGGTAACATGGAGAAACCCTGGCTCTATTTAAAAACCAAACAAAACAAACAAAAACTTAAAAAAAAACCCACGATGTACTATTCACTAATTATGAGATGAGAGAACTTTACTAATTTTACTTATAAAAACAATAGGTTAAGATGATAGAGCTTAAATATTCAAGATGACATCTTTTCATCAGCAGATCCCAATTACTTCAATATGATATAGTAAACCACAAGGTGAAAGATAGAGTCTATTTTGTATTTGTATATTTCTAGGAATTGTTGGTTTATATTCTCACCTACATTTTCTACATGACTGTCTGGTTTTTTCCTTTGAGACAGTCTTGCTCTGTCACCCAGGCTGGGTTCAAGTGATTCTCATGCTTCAGTCACCCAGGTAGCTGGGATTATGGATGTGTGCTACTACATGCAGCTATTTTTTTTTATTTTGAGATGGAGTTTCACTCTTGGCCAGGCTGGAGTGCAATGGTGGGATCTCAGATCACTGCAACCTCCACCCATGGGTTCAAGTGATTCTCTTGTCTTAGTTTCTCACCCAGCTGTGATTACAGGCACTGGACACCACACCTGGCTAATTTTTGTATTTTTAGTAGAGATGGGGTTTCACCATGTTGGCCAGGCTGATCTCGAACTCCTGACCTTGTGTGATACGCCCACCTGGGCATCCCAAAGTGTTGGGATTACAGGCAAGAGCCACCCCATCCCACCACCCAGCTATTTTTTTTTTGAGACAGAGTCTCACTTGCTCTGTCACTCATGCTGGAGTGCAGTGGCACCATCTTGGCTCACTGCAACCTCTGCCTCCTGGGTTCAAGCCATTCTCCTGCCTCAGCCTCTTGAGTAGTTTCGCTCTTGTTACCCAGGCTGGAGTGCAATGGCACGATCTCGGCTCACTGCAACCTCTGCCTCCTGGGTTCAGGCAATTCTCCTGCCTTAGCCTCCTGAGTAGCTGGGATTACAGGCACACACCACCATGCCCAGCTAATTTTTATATTTTTAGTAGAGACGGGGTTTCACCATGTTGACCAGGATAGTCTCAATCTCTTGACCTCGTGATCCACCCGCCTCGGCCTCCCAAAGTGCTGGGATTACAGGCTTGAGCCACCGCGCCCGGCCAATTTTCTGTGTTTTTTTTGTTTTTAGCAGAGATGGCGTTTTCACCATGTTAGCAAGGATGGTGTCAATCTCCTGACCTCATGATCTGCCTGCCTTGGCCTCCCAAAGTGCTGGTATTACAGGTGTGAGCCACTGGACCCAACCTTAATTTTTGTATTTTTAGTAGAGATGGGATTTCACCATGTTGGCCAGGCTGACCTTGAACTCCTGGCCTGAAGTGATCTGCCTGCCTCAGCGTCTGAAAGTGCTGGATTACAGGCACGAGTCACCATGCCAGGCTAAGACTGTCTTTTTCTTGACTTAAAGGATTATGGATAGTAAGCCTTTGCCTGTTTATATGTGCTGCAAATACTTTCTCCTGGTCTGCCTTTTGTGTTTTATATTTGTTAGTGAAATCTTCCACCAACTGGCACTGGTCAAATTTGTAAATTTTGGCTTTTGGTTTCAAGTATATTAAAATACTTGAAAACCTTCTGGTTTCAAGTATATTAAAAGACTTTCCCTACCTCTGTGATTATAAAAAATATTTTTTCTGGCCAGGTGTGGTATCTCACACCTCTAATCCCAGCACTTTGCGAGGCTGAGGTGGATGGATTGCTTGAGGTCAGGAGTTCAAGACCAGCCTGGCCAACATGGCAAAACCTCATCTCTACTAAAATACAAAAATTAACTGGGTGTGGTATGCCTATAATACCAGCAATTTGGGAGGCTGAGGCAGGAGAATTGCCTGAACCCAGGAGGTGGAGGTTGCAGTGAGCTGGGATCATGCCACTATACTCCAGTCTGGGCAATAGAGGAAGACTCCATTCAAAAAACAAACAAAAAATATTTTTCTATTTAGTAGTTTCCTAATATTTTTGTCATTTACATATTTAATCCACTGGAAATATATTTTTATATAATATGATATAGAGATAATAGCTTCCCCCCCGCCCCTACCAAGTAGAGAAGTAATTAACTGAAAGGTTTAGGTCAACTATTTTCTCCCCAAGTGATCTAAAATACCATCTTTGTTATATACTGAATTCCATAAATTCGTGGGTCTGTTTCTGGACAATCTATTACTTTTTATTTTTTCTTTTACTAATACCGTAATTCTTCATTTATTTTCGATTTTTATTTCTTCTTTTACAGACAACATATTATTATCTTTTTTTTTTTTTTTTTGTGCTGCCCAGGAAACAATCCCAGGTCACAAGAATGGGAACCTATTATTTTTTTAAAAAGTTGATTTAGGCTGGGCGTGGTGGCTTACGCCTATAATCCCAGCACTTTGGGAGGCCGAGGCGGGTGGATCACGAGGTCAAGAGATCGAGACCATCCTGGTCAACAAGGTGAAACCCGTCTCTACTAAAAATACAAAAATTAGCTGGGCACGGTGGTGCGCGCCTGTAGTCCCAGCTACTCGGGAGGCTGAGGCAGGAGAATTGCTTGAACCCAGGAGGCAGAGGTTGCGGTGAGCCGAGATCGTGCCATTGCACTCCAGTCTGGGTAACAACAGCGAAACTCCGTCTCAAAAAAAAAAAAAAAAAGTTGATTTATGTCTTTATTCTTGTGCAAGGACCAAACTGTTAGTTTTGTGACTTAATTCTGTTACTTTAAAATTGCAAAGTAGAACCCCATTAATTAATTATGTAAGTTTATATATGTTTTCTTATTTATTTTCAAGCACTAACTCCTCCAAGTAAGTTCCAAATAATTTTGGAACATCAGAAACCATAAACAAAAATATCCAATGAAGGCAACTAAATTGAAATCTAAATAAAATAAAATCAACATCATTATAATAAAGAGTCTTCTCATCCAAGAAAATATCTCTTTCCATCTATTCAGTCACTATTTTAAGTCTTTTAAGTAAAACTGTATTTTTCTCATTCATATCTTGCACAGTAAGGTCAACTTACTGAATTTTAAATGCTACTATATATTTTGTAGAACTTTTCTTGTTTTATTATTTATTTGGTTGTTTTATTTCCAGCAAAGACTCCAAAAATATTATTTTTAAGGAAAAAAGTAGTAAAGAAATTACATACAGTACCTTTTCTAAAGCAATATGTAGTTCTTTTTCATATTCTGGTGGCAATCTCAGGAGTAGAACCTGGCAGGCATCTTTAATCAGTGGGACAACACTGAGAGATATTAATATAGCAATAAACAGAGAACAGAGAGGGTCAGCGATGAACCATCCAAACTGCTCTATCAGAATTGTGGATACAATCACACCAATACTGCCAAGTGTATCTGCCAAAACATGTAGAAATACACCTACAAATAAAATATATATGGACATTAAAAATTAAGGCACATCTAATTTAGTTTTTTTTAACACATTCTACCAATATTACTGGATATCTACTGTGCAACACATACTTTGCTACTTGCTAGTACTTCAAAATGCCTATAATATGTTCACTGCCCTGAAGGAATTGAGAATACAGTTGTAAAAAGATGAGGACATGGGCACTCATGACAGTGTGGTGAACTTTATGGTGCACTTTGTCTGGAAAGGCTTCCCAAAAATCATGCTTCAGCCAAGTTTTGACATTACCCAAATTACTTACATTAAATAATTTAGCATAATAAATGATTAGTATTTCCTCTAATTTTTTATAGTGCAATAAAAATTTCCAAAAAAGGAGTAAGAATTTCCTTTTTGTAGTGAAGGTTCATAATAGCACACTTGGTATTTACCTTGCAACTAGTATCTATTCAGCTGTCACTATGAAAAGGACTCTATATTAAAAATTGACACTTAAAAACAAATATATTTTCATTTTCTTTTTTTTTTTTGGATACAGAGTCTCTGTTGCCCAGGCTGGACTAAAGTGGTGCAATCTCGGCTCACTGCAACCTCAGCCTCCTGGGTTTAAGTGATTCTCATGCCTCAGCCTCCTGAGTAGCTGAGACTACAGGTGCCTACCATCACGCCTGGCTACTTTTTGTATTTTTAGTAGAGATGGGGTTTTGCCATGTTGGACAGACTGGTCTCAAACTCCTGACCTCAGGTAATCCATCCACCTAGGCCTCCCAAAGTGCTGGGATTATAGAAGTGAGACACTGCCTGATCTCATTTTCTTTTTAAAAGAATTTCTGTGATGTTAGAATTCCTGCTATGTTTTTATTTTCATTTTTAATTTTTTTCTCTGTCCTACAGCAAGGATCCATTTTCATTAAAAATTTTTAAATTTTATTGTGGTAAGAACAGTTAACAAGAAAATTTTAAGTGTACAGAATATTATCAATGACTCTAGGTACAATGTGGTACAGCACATTTCTAGAACTTGTTCGTCTTGCTTAATACTTTATACCTGTTGATTAGTGACCTCCTTTCCCTCCCATCCTAGCCCCCATCATTCTACCCTTTGGTTCTATGAATTTCATCCCATGTAAGTGGAATCAGGCATTATCTGTCTTTCCATGACTGGCTTATTTCACTTAGCATAATGTCTTTAAAGTTCATCTATGTTGTCATATATTATAGAACTTTGCTTTTTTTTTTTTCAAATTAGGTGCCACGCTAATCTTTGCTGTACTGTCCTAATTTTAGTATATGTGCTGCCAAAACAATCACTAAAATGTCCCTTTTCATTTTTTTTTTTTTGAGATGGAGTCTCACTCTCTCTTCCAGCCTGGAGTGCATCTTGGTTCACTACAGCCTCTGCCTCCCGGGTTCAAGTGATTCTCCTGCCTCAGTCTCCAAAGTAGCTGGGATTATAGGTGCCCGCCACCACGCCCGGCTAATTTTTGTATTTTTAGTAGAGACAAGGCTTCACCATATTGGCCAGGCTGGCCTTGAACTCCTGTCCTCAGGTGGTACACCTGCCTCAGCCTCCCAAAGTGCTGGGATTACAGGTGTGAACCACCGCGTCCCTGGCCAGAATGTCCCTCTTTTTAATAGGATGAATAATATTTCATTTTATGTGTATACAAGTAAGACTAATTTATATAGCAGATAGCTTCAGACCTTTTAGTCCCAGATTGCTTTTTAAGAATCATATCTATAGGAAGAAAATGAGTATAAAAGAAAAAGAAAAAAAATCATATCATACCAGAAGCCCCAAGCTTAATACAAATAAACACAGAGGGCCAATGTAAAACACAGTTGAAAGGCAGGACAATACGTTGCAAGGACTCACCCCTCATGTTAGCATTCATGCCTCCGCCTACAGGTCCGTGGCTGTGACCATGCCCATGGTCACTGTGTCCATGCATATGATGTGAATGGCTGTGATCAGATGAGTGACAGCTTCCTTGAGAAGCTCCATGGGCATGGCTATGGGCATGGCTAAAGGCACAGATACCAATAAGGTTTACTATCAGCCCTCCAACTGAGACTGGCTAGCAAAAAGGAGAAAAAAATCCTTAAATTAGTAATTTAAAAATAAACTTCTTATTTAAAAACAAATTTGTTATGTTTTTCTGTTTACAGTTTTGAAAGTATTCACAGTAAAACCTTAAAAACATGAATTTTAGAACATTTTAGAAGGAACATTTTAACTTTCAAATATCAAGCAAAATTGGTAAGTAGAGGGATTTGGACTTACTTCAATTAAGAATGGTATGTACTTGGTTTGTGGTTTATGTATAAATAAATGATTCAATGTTTTGTTTTGTTTATTTAAATAGAAATTGAAAGTATTGCTTACTAGGGCAAGTATACACTGTACCTAAAATCTTGTTTATATTACTAGTTAAATTTGAACAGTTTAGATGCCGATGATTATAATTTATTAATGAGTGTATTCCAAATATGGTCTTAATATGTCTTAAATAGAGTAAAATTTCCAAAGTAAAACAAGAATATGAAAAACAAACATAAAATAGTAATTTCTTATTTATTTAAATTAAAAACAATTTTTTTTTCTTTGGTAGGACAGGGTCTCACTATGTTGCCCAGACTGTCCTCAAACTCCTGGGCTCAAATGATCTTTCTGTCTTGGCTTCCAAAAGTGTTGGGATTACAGACATAAGCCACCATGCCTGGCCTCTCATTTTTTTCTTAACAAAGTGAATGAAATTACCTTAATTTAATGGTGCCACAATAACACTTCAAAAGATAAACAAAGTTACTTATCCTTGATTATCTGCTCTTATCTTGAACAGTAGCTCAGGGTGTTATTTAATTTGCCTATGTCTACAATGTAAAGCAATCCGTTAGTTTTACAAAAGGAAAATATAAAAGTGAGAAGGAAAAATACTTTTAGTTACTTTTCAAAAAAGTAGTAAGAGATTTACTTAGTAAATCTGTAGGGAGGTTATTTACTTCTTCCTATGATTCAGACCATTTGTCTCCAAGATTTTAAAATGTCATTAGGCTTTATAAGCTTGTAGATGGTTAAAGATTTTGAATGAAACCAAGTACTGGGGCCGGGCGTAGTGGCTCATGCCTGTAATCCAAGCACTTTGGAGGCCAAGGTGGGTGGATCACCTGAGGTCGGGAGTTCAAAGACCAGCCTGACCAACATGGTGAAACTGTCTTTATAAACAACAACAACAAAAAAGAAATCAAGTACTGCTTACAGAAACTCCATCATCTCATAAGTATTCCTTCTCCCCTACTGAAAAATACTTCATCATTGTGTATTTTATCAGGAAAATAAAAATGTAGAAGGTAAAAGTCCCCTATAATTCTACCACTGAGGGTTAGTCACTCTTAAAAGGGTGTATTTTCCATCTATGTACTAACATACATACACACAACACCCTTTAAAATCAATAATGTAATCATAATACTATTTCAAAATTAAAAAAAAATTTTTGAGACAGAGTTTTGCTCTGTCTCCCAGGCTGGAGAGCAGTGGTACGATCTTGGCTCACTGCAATCTCTGCCTCCCAGGTTCAAGCGATTCCCCTGCCTGAGCCTCCCAAATAGCTGGGACTACAGGCGCCCACCACCACACCTGGCCTACAACATGTTTTTCATTAGTACATCTGGTAAATATTTTCATGCCAGTATATACAGATATATCTCATTCTTTTCAGTAGCTGCATAGTATTCTATTACATAGATAACAAATTTTATTTAATTACTTTTTTCACTGGTGGACAGTGAATTCTTTCCATTTTTTCCTATTATAAATAAGGGAACAATGAATCATGTACTTTTTTTTTTTTTTTTGAGATAGATTCTCACTCTGTCACCCAGGCTGGAGTGCAGTGGCACGATCTGGGCTCACAGCAGCCTCCACCTCCTGATTCAAGTGATTCTCCTGCCTCAGCCTCCCAAGTAGCTGGGATTACAGGTATGCGTCACCATGCCTGGCTAATTTTTGTATTTTTGGTAGAGATGGGGTTTCTCATGTTGACCAGGCTGGTCTCAAACTCCTGACCTCAAGTAATCCAACTGTCTTGGCCTCCCAAAGTGCTGGGATTACAGGAATGAGCCACCACATCCGGCCTGAATCATGTTCTTCTATATATTTGTGTGAATGCTGTGTATGATAAATATTAAATGTCAAAGGATACAAGCATTTAAAATCCATAAAAAGTCCCTTTTTTCCAAACTGTATTCTAGAAAGATTTTACTAATGTATGCTTCCACCAGCAAGCCTGAGAGCTGCTTTTAGTCATTCAACAACTAACAGATTTCCTACTACAAGCTAGAACTTAAGAGTTAACAATACAAAATTCAGGTCCTGAAGATACTTATATCTTAATTGTGGAAGAATGACAAATTAAACAACTGCAACTCCATGTTTCTAAAAGAAGAATGCACAAAACTAATGAGAATACTGAGAAGGGGAATCTAACAAACTTCGAGGAGAGAAGAGAGGGATTAAAAGAAAGTATTTCAAAAAATCAGCTGGGCATGGTGGGTCTGTAGTCCCAGCTATTCGGCAGGCTGAGATAGGAGAATCGCTTGATCCCATGAGACAGAGGTTGCAGTGAGCCGAGATCACGCCACTTCACTCCAGCCTGGGCGACAGAGCAAGACTCCATCTCAAAAGAAAAAAAAAAAAAGAATTCCACTAGAGGAGACACATAAGCAAAATCTTGACAGAGGTTGAGGGCAGAAATAAGGAAAGGACATGCTAACTACAAGAAATAGCACATGTAAAGCTTTGGTGAACATTAAAAGTTGCTATAGCTGGCTGGGCACAGTGGCTCATGCCTGTAGTCCCTGCACTTTGGGATGCCAAGGCGGGAGGATTGCATGAGGTCAGTAGTTTGAGACCAGCCTGGCCAACATGGTGAAACCCTGTCTCTACAAAATATACAAAAATTAGCTAGGCTGTTATCCTAGCTACTCGGGAGGCTGCAGCACGAGAATCACTTGAACCTGGGAGGTGGAGGCTGTAGTGAGCCAAGATCATGCCATTGCACTCCAGCCTAGAAAAGAGACCCTGTCTCAAAAAAAGAGAATTTCTAAGAGGAAGCAGTATAAATGTAAACAGCAAGATAGGAAGTTATGTTGATATAAGTTAAAAATAAAATAAAACAAAACCTTAGAGTAATAACTGCAAACAGTTAAACTTTAGGACAGGAAAAAACTATATAAGTATGACTAGAAATCCAAATAGGAAAATAAAAAGACTTACTGTTAACATATGAGTGTCTAATTCTGGAGGATCAATCAATCTGGCCACTGACTCCATAAACACAAAAAAAGCTATTACTATTAGAAAAAGTCCATTAATAAATCCAGACAGAATTTCTATTCGACCATACCTAAAAAACAAAAATAAAAATTACAAATATTTTTAAAGTATAAACTTTATAAATGAGGAACCAAGTCCAAATTTTCAAACTACTAAGTAATTAATAATATTAGAAAATTAGCAACATTTTAAATATCATATTAGTGCTAGAAGGTCCTACATATATGTTTGTTAAAATTTTATATATTCATCAAAATCTTTCTTTACTGTCTTTTCTTTTCTTTTTTTTTTTTTTAAAGACAGAGTCTTGCTCTGTTACCCAGGCTGGAGTGCAGTGGCACGATCTCGGCTCACCGCAACCTCTAACTCCTGGGTTCAAGCACTTTTCCTGACTCAGCCTCCTGAGTAGCTGGGACAACAGGTGTGTGCCACCACACCTTGCTAATTTTTTTCATTTTTAGTAGAGACGGGGTTTCACCATGTTGGGCAGTCTGGTCTCAAACTTCTGACTTCAGCTGATCTGCCCACCTTAGCCTCCCAAAGTACTGGAATTAGAGGTGTGAGCCACCACTCCTGGCCTATTGTCTCTCTTATACAAAGCCTTTCCTAATTTCCTAGCAAGAAGTCATTTATTCCTCCTTTAAACCTTTGATGTGCTCTGTATTTCTGTCATGGCATATAGATTCTGCTCTGTACCAAAATTATTTGTATTTTTGGCTCATACAAACAGTTGAGAATAAGAGCCAAATTTATTAATTTAGAGTAGGTTTTACACAAAAAGAGATTCTAATTATTGAATTATTTGTTTAATGAAAGGATATTTTCATGTATAGCAACTTCAAATTTTGAATACTCTTTTTAACAAAGAAGATGTGAATGACTATAGATATTCCATTACCTCAAAGAAACACGCTGGACAAAGATCTCAAGATTTTACTTGATGTTTGCTCCCTGGGAGCACATATATGTATGCTTAAAAAAATTTTTTTTGGAGACAGAGTTTTGCTCTGTTGCCCAGGTTGGAGTGCGATGGCCCAACTCGGCTCACTGCAACCTCCACCACATAGGTTCAAATGATTCTCCTGCCTCAGCTTCCAAGTAGCTGGGATTACAGGTGCTGGCCACCACACCTGGCTAATTTTTGTATTTTTAGTAGAGATGAGGTTTTACCATGTTGGCCAGGCTGGTCCGAACTCCTGACCTCAGGTGATCCACCCACCTCAGCCTCCCAAAGTGCTAGGATTACAGGCATGAGCTACCATGCCTGGCCAAGGAAGCATAATCTTGAGTTCACTTCTATTCAGTATTTATCAAATGCCTGGTTCATATCATCCCCTTATTTAATTCACATTTTTTTAAAATGAAGATTTGGAAATTATTTGTATTAAAAGTAATATAATTCTATTCCTTAAGATGAAATTTGCACTTAAGATATATCAGCTCCATAGTCAATGTACCTACCCATAGGAGAAAATCCGAGTGGCTTTCCACCTACTCATCAGGGCAGCAAAAAGACCCATGACCAAAGCAGAGCAGTCAAAGAGCATGTGAAATCCATCTGAGATCAGGCCCAGACTATTTGTCAACACTCCGTAGAATAATTCCACAAAGGTAAAAAGCTAAAAATGTTACAAAAAAAAAAAAAAAAAGGGAGGAGTATGTTGGGAACTATGTTTCAATTAGGAGGATTTTAACCCTAAATTATCCTAGCCTACTTGAAGATCTGTTATAATAGTTTAAATATTTAACTGTCACTTATATTAGAAATCCTATTTCACACAAATTGTAAGAAGCTAAGATAAATCCACTTTACAAACTATTTAAAAATAGTTACTTATATGTCTATATAAAATAATAAACTAGGTTATAAAATGTTAGCAATCAGTGGTTTGTAACACTGATTGCTAATAGTGAGAACCTCTAAGTTATTAGAACTCTTTAGATGCTACTATATTTACTGATTTGAAAGAACACAGTACATCAATGCTTCTAAAATGCCTCACAAATTGTTTGTTTAAGTGGCTGGACATGGTGGCACATGCCTTAAGGACTGCCTAAGTAGTCTGAAGATGATCCCGTAATCTTGCTATTATACTTAGAAAAATTTAAATTTTAGCCCATCTTATTACCAGAAATTTGGGAAGTACTAAACTTATACCAGAACTGTCAAAATTAAAAAATTATGCTTTTAGGATATGCCAATTAACATTTAAACATCTTACCAGATTCAAGCACAAGAAGTAGAAGATCTGCCTAGAGTCACTCTCCTCAAGAATTTGTTTTAGTGATTCCTTAATAAACCGAGGGATCGATTGAGAGCTATGCTGAAAAGCATCACCCATGAAGTTATAAAGAGGTGTTCCTTCAGGTGAATACCCAATCAGGGTACCTTTTTGTCCTTTCTTAGAGGGAGATGATAAGATGTTGGCAGCTACAGAGAGAAAAAAAGAATATTGCTTAAATTTTAGAAGCTTAAGCTACCAAAACCAACACAGTAACTGTCAGCACTAAATGCAACCACTGAAGCATTTCCCGAATTCTTCCAATCCATCTTTTGATGGATTTGACTATGAAAATCCATAAATAGAAATTTGTTAAAACAAGAACAAGGGGGAAAATGCTTACACAAAATGAAGAATATAGCACTCACTACCACTCCTCCAGACAGGACGTGTTCAGTGCTCTCCTGGTGTGCTGCTTTGTTCATAGCCCGAAGCTGGTCTGTTATTGGATGTGTCCAAAAATTCCCAAAAAGGAGAGCACTAATAAAAATGGGAAAGGATCCATAACGAGCACATTTGGAAACTTCCATTTTGACTGAACAAATGGAATCCACATAGAAATCCAGGATCATGACAGAAAAGATAACCGTAGCAAAAGGCATAATGAGAGAAAACCAAGACTCGACTTTACTCTAGAAATTAAAAAAAAGAATAGTCAGGACTATATATGTATAAAATTCACATCATACAAGATGTTTCTGTTAACCTTTTAATATATAAACATGATTCAATATGATTCATACTATGCCAACATATAAAAGCTATAAGATATTGGTACATTTTCTCAGTATTCTCCAAAGTTTTAAAAAACAAAAGCATTATTGTGTAATAGTTCGATAAACACTAGGTGACATGTAATCCTTAAGTCTAGCACATGGTTAACTGCTGTTTCTTCAAATGATTCCTTTGGGCTATGGGTATGTGAGGGATATGTAAATGCAATAGCATTCGATTTGTATTTCTTATAAACAATAAAATTAACTCCAAAAAAAAAAAATTACAAAGAAAAAGCAAAGACAATTTAAGCTTCTTTCAACCTCAAATTAAAATACAATGTATTGAATATAGTAAATTAAAAATTTAATAGCAATAAATTCTTGCTCTTATCTTACCTCAGTTGTCACAGAAAGAACAATGACCCATGGGCACAAGAGAAGTACAGAAACAAGATGAGATAAAGCTTGAAGACGTTTGCCTCCACCGATGTCAATAGAGAGCTTTCTGGAAGCTGTATGAAAACCAACTTTACAACACAAAGCCAGTACTAGCAATAATACTCCACCCTGTGAGTAAAATTAGATTAAGTCTCATTAGAAACACACACAGTCCAATATTCAATCCTTAAATACATGTTTTTTCCGCCCCCCGCAGAGATGGGGTCTTGCTCTGTCATCCAGGCTGAAGTACAGTGTCATGATCACAGCTCACTGCAGCCTCAAATTCCTGTGCTCAAGGAACTCCTTCTGTCTTAGCCTCCCAAGTAGCTGGGACTACTGGCACATACCACCACACCTGGCTAACATAATATTTAAAGAAATGAAACTAGTATATTTTTCCTATATACTTAATTACTTAACTACTTAAATGGCAGGCAATATTATACATTGCTGATAATTTTTTTTTTTTTGAGACAGTTTCGCTTTTGTTGCCCAGGCAGGAGTGCAATGGCATGGCTCACCGTAACCTCTGCCTCCTGGGTTCAAAAAATTCTTCTGTCTCAGCCTCCTGAGAAGCTGGGATTATAGACATACAATACCACGCCCAGCTAATTTTGTAATTTTAGTAGAGACGGGGTTTCTCCATGTTGGTCAGGGTAGTCTTGAACTCTTGACCTCAGGTGATCTGCCTGCTTTGGCCTCCCGAAGTGCTGGGATTACAGGCTTGAGCCACTGCACCCGGCCAGTAATTTTATTTTAAATGTACTTTTATAGTTATAGTTGCTACAACTTTTCAGAATCTTTTGATCCTGTTAGCAATAAAGAAAACATACCTTGTGATCTGCCACACCTAAGAAGGCAATGACTGTGTAAAGCATATGAGTTAGAGCACTGTCATGATGTCCTTCAGCTAAGTGAGGTGAAGTAAAGGAAAAAATTCCAAAAAGTCACTCTGTGAAACCCCAAGTTCTCCTGAAATTTCAGTTACATTATTCTGGATTGCATATAGACTAATCTGGAGGCCCCAAATCTAATTACCTTCAATAATGTGTTTCACTTAAAAACAAAACAAAACAAAACAATCCGGACCTCATTTATAAATTGGAATGTATTTCTTTTGTTGTCTCCAAAACAATAACAGCACTTAAGATAAAGTTGCCAGATTTTAGTAGTTAACCTCTAAAAGACTTATTGCATACATACAAGTACAACAAAGGGACAAGGGCAAGGAATCTCCTTGGACCACTCCTGTCCAAGGAGGGAATTAAGGTTGCCTTTAAGACTGACATGTAGAATGAGTCCTAAGTCACTCACCACATAAGTCTCAGCAAAGTAAGTGGGAAGCCAAAGAGGATGGGGTGGAGAATAAAGGTTGTATCACAAGCAATCCGGAGCTTTTCTAAAGTCATACTCCCCTCCCTCATTGTAACAAAGAAAATTATTATTAGTTTACTAATAAGTTTTAGGGCAGTGAGTATCAGTAACAGAAGAATAAAAACTGGTACTTGGAGTTCTGCTGGTCAGAATGGGAAAAGATGTATGAATAAAAATAGAAAAAAAGGCATGTTTGCAGAGTAAAATGAGTAGACATATTTGACTAGAAAGTTGGGTTTCTAGAAGAGAAGAGTTGGGGCTGAGCTAGATATAATAATTTAGAGCAAGACAGTGAATACTAGGTAAGGGAATTTGAACCTTTTCTTTCAGGCAAGAAGATGCCAAAGGTTTTTCATTTACAAGCATTTAAATTGTTAAATTATAAGGGAGCAAACACACTGACTGAGTGGCAAATCACTTTTTTTTTTTTTTTAGCACCAGTACATTCAAAATATTCTTTTAATTTCTTCACATTTCTGAAAATTTAGGGTACTGTAGATGATACTGAGATGCCGTAAAATATTTAACTTAGAATGAGTTTGTTCATCATTTGAATACTGATTTAGAATATCTACATTAATCTATGGAAGTTTCATTCATCATTGATCAGTTTAATTCACTCATCTTTTCTTTTTCCATTGTTCCAGTCTTCTACTTTTCTGCCTTTAAATAACTCTCATCTATTCCAAAAGGATACGGTGTTCAGCCATTTTAGCCATGAGATCATCATTGTCAAAAAGCAATAAACAGATCACAGCAATAATGAAAAAAGCAGCTCCCCTTGTCTGAAAATAAAGAAAATAACATCAAGGATGACTTTTTCAAGGTTGATTTTTAAGATGGTAACTATATAAATGCTAAAGAAAGACATTTTCTTAAGTAAGCATTTACAAAAATGCATTAAAAAACTGAAAGAACATCTGACATTAAAGCTCTTATATAAGCTTACAGTATTAACAGTAAGAGATCAAAGAGATATAAACTAATGATAATGTCAATTATCTCCCTGTTAACATGGCTAGGCATATTACTATGCACAAATTGTTACTGTTCACAGAATCAATCTTCCTAAATGCTACTTTACTTCTGGTTGAAAAGTCCAAGTAGCTAAAGAAAAATTAGTAGAAACTTATTTTACTCTACAATGTGCAAGAAATAGAGAAAATTCTAGCTACTACTCCTCTAGAGAAAAATAATCACACTAAGCACATATAAAAGTAATGTGCTTAATAAAAAATTAAGCACATTAAAATCAGCAAAGTCATTTCTAACATCTAGTAAAGGTATAAAGTACTTACAAAGCTGATAAACTTAAAATTTATATTCTCACCCCAGGGAAAAGGTTTTTTTTTTTCCTTTTTCTAGACAAGTCTTGCTGTCGCCCAGGCTGGAGTACAGTGGCGTGAACAAAGCTCACTGCAGCCACCAACTCCTGGGCTCAAGCGATCCTCTTGCCTCAGCCTACTAAATAGCTGGGACCACAGGCATGTGCCACCCATGCCGGGTCAGTTTTTTATTTGTAGAGATGGGGTCTAGCCATGTTGTCCAGGCTGAGGAAAAAGGTTTTGATAAAAGAAAATTATAGAAAGGACATAATAGTTTAGTTTATGTAAATATTTCAGAATGGTAGGTACAAAAATCATCTAAATAGCATTACCATATATATATATATATATATATATGGTATATATAAATATATATATATATATTTTTTTGACAAGAGTCTCACTCTGTCGCCCAGGCTGGAGTGGAGTGGTGTGATCTTGACTCACTGCAACCTCTGTCTCCCGGGTTCAAGTGGTTATCCTGCCTCAGCCCTCTCAAGTAGCTGGGATTACAGGTGCATGTCACCACGCCTGGCTAATTTTTATATTTTCAGTAGAGACGGGGTTTCACCATGTTGACCAGGCTGGTCTCAAGCTCCTGACCTCAGATGATCTGCCTGTCTTGGCCTCCCAAAGTGCTGGGATTACAGGCATAATATGTCTTGTATGATACATATACTTGTAAAATACCTATTATTGGCCTGGTGCGGTGGCTCACACCTGTAATCCCAGCCGAGGCAGGCAGATCATGAGGTCAGGAGTTAGAGACCAGCCTGACCAACATGGTGAAACCCCACCTCTACTTTAAATACAAAAATTAGCTGGGTGTGGTGGCACACAGCTGTAATCCTAGCTACTCAGGAGGCTGAGGCAGGAGAATCACTGGAATCTTGGGAGGCGGAGGTTGCAGTGAGCTGAGATTGTGCCACTGCACTCCAGCCTGGGTGACAGCAAGACTCTGTCTCAAAACAAAACAAAAAAACACCAATTATATATAAATACGTAAGTATATTATATATACCTATCATGGAAGTATAATACAATACTTCTCTAGAAGTTCAGAATACAAAGTGAGGATATTCTTCTATTTATAATGTGATTACCACTACAATGGATAAATTCTCTGTTACTGTGGTGGGTATTACAACACATAAGAAAAATCATGCAATTTAAAATTTCTTAAATTAATCATTGAGTTAAAATATGGCAACATCAACAACAATCAAACACAGAAAACAGTTTAATCTTTTGTTAACAAAGGTGGCAACTGAGAATTTTGTAGTGCTTCAGTCTCATAATTAAGAAAAAAAAAATCAAGCCCTGGACTGACACCCTGATTCATTTCTCATGCTAATGAGAGGATATGCAAGATGTATACTCTCATTTCTAGTTACTTAAGCAGGAAAACTTTTTTTTAATGTTTTCAAGTTATTTTTATTTCTTTTGTGAGTTGTCTTTCCCTGTTTTTTTTGCTCATTTCCTGCCAAGGATCTTAAGCATTTTTTAAAATGAAATGGGTGATTTACACTTTCAAAGAAATGTAAAACTTATTATTTGTGGCAATTTTTGTTGTTTTTTTGTTTACACACTGATTTCTGTTATACTGAGTTTATAATCATTATGAAGCCAAACACAGTGAATTTTCTCTTTGTGATTTTTTTTCCCTTTTCTGCTTTTATGCTCAGAATTGTCTCCATCTACATATTTTATTGTGTTTTTACAAATATCTATTTTTGTAAACTCACAAAACTCTTCAATCCACCTGAAATGTATTTTGAAGTGAGGGGCAGGATTAAATAGTGGCCCATGCTTTAATAGTAATGATTCAGTTTGAAATTACAGGTGGGGGGTATTCTTTTACTCTGCTCTACTTGGCGTGTTACTGTGTTCACTTCATTCATCTCCCTCCATTACTTTGACTGAAAGTCCCTTTCAGAACAGGGACTATTACACCTTATTTGTCTTTATTTCTCCTTTCCTCTGTCTAGGAAAATGCACCGTGCACTGGAAATATTTAATTCTGTAAAAGAGAAACACTACATAGTCCTAACAGTTTGGAATTGCAGGTTGGTAACTCATTTGACAAAAGGATAATATCTGAATCACTTAGGATGAATAGGAATGCTTAGGTGGCAAAATGTTGGATAAAGAAGTGTTCATCATAATTTAAATTTAACAAGTTTTTACTTATTTTCCAAAAATGATTTACAGGGGTTAAGAATGAGCAGTGGGGTTGGGGGAAGGGTGCATAAGTAGAACATGAAAGAGACTGTTGTGGTGATGCATCAGTTCTCTATCTTGCTTGTAATGATGGTTACACAAATCTATACACGACAAAATTTCATAGACCTACATGCATACATACACACACACACGATCATATATAAAACTAGTAAAATATGAATAAGGTCTATGGATTGCACCAATGTGAAGTTCCTGTCTTTTTTTAAAATTTTTGATTTTAATTTTTGTGGGCACATAGTAGGGATATGTGTACATCAGATGTTTTGATATAGACATGCAATGTGTATAACCACATCACGTCAAATGGGGTATCCATCCCCTCAAGCATTTAGCCTTTGTGTTACAAATAATTCAATTATACTCTTTTAGTTATTTTAAATGTACAATTAAATTATTGACTATAGTCACCCTGTTGTGATGTGAAATACTAGGTCTAATTGCTTCGTTTTGATAGTGTACTTGAGTTGGTTAAGAAGTTACCTTTGAGGAAAACTAAATGAAGGGTAAGGGTCCTCTCTGTAGTATTTTTGCAACTTCCTAGGACTCTATAATCATTTCAAAATCATTTTCCACTCTTTTTATGTTCAGAAATTTCTCCACCTACAGATTATTGTATTGTTTTTACAAATATCTATTTTTGTAAACCTACAGAATTCTTCAAAAACAAAACAAAAAACTTTGTAAGAAAAATATAAAACCAGCAGAAAAAGCCCCTGCATTTTTTTTTGAGACTGAGTCTCACTCTATTGTCCAGGCTGGAGTGCAGTGGCATGATCTTGGCTATAACCTCTGCCTCCTGGGTTCAAGTGATTCTCATGCCTCAGCCTCCCAAGTAGCTGGCATTACAGATGCCCGCCACTACTCCCAGCTAATTTCTGTATTTTTTGTAGAGATGAGGTTTTACCATGTTGGCCAGGCTGGTCTCAAACTCCTGATCTTATGTGATCCACCCACCTCGGTTTCCCAAAGTGCTGGGATTACAGGCGTGAGCCATCATGCTTGGCCTCCCTGCATTCTTTTAAATGGTGAAAGATAAGATTTTATTCCTTTGGATAATTGACATACATACTTTCCATTTAGTAGAAATGTTAATGGAAATGATAATGGAAAATTCTACCTTTGCTGGTCCTCCTCCAGAACTGGTGAACAAAACACTGAGTAGTGAAATGACAACAATGTCACTGTGTTCAAATAGCAGCAAAGTCCTACAAAAATAAAACATTACCATCTGTGACAAGTATTTTATCTTTATTAAGATGCATGAATTCCACTAGAGTTAGAGAAAGGAAAACATTTCCCCTTGATTTCACAAAACATTATAAGAAAAATAAACAGGTAGAACTGCTTTAGAAAATAGTTTGGCATTACCTATCTTAAAAGGTTGAAGCTAAAAATACCCAATCATATCACTCACAGAATTACATCATACAGATTTCTTATTCTTATATATATATGTATCAGGTAACACTTATAAGGTTACTCATATCAGCACTGTTTGCAGTAAGCCAAAAAATACAGGCAATATAGAGCCATGTGCTGCATAATATTATTTTGGTCAATGATGGACTGCATATGTATGATGGTGGTGGTCCTTTAACATTATAATGGAGCTGAAAAATTTGAATCACCTGGTGTAATGCATACTCGTGTTTCTGGTGATGCTGGTGTAAACAAACACCAGCTGGTGCAAACCAGAATGCTACTGCACTACCAGTCATATAATATAGTACATACAATTATGTACAGAATATATACTTGTAAATGACTATGCAACTGGTTTACATATTTATTATACCACACATTTAATTATTTTAAAATGTACTTTTACTTTTTATTTATTATTATTTTTTAAGACTCAGTCTCACTCTTGTCTGCCAGGCTGGAGTGCAATGGCGTGATCTCAGTTCGCTGCAACCTCCGCCTCCCAGGTTCAAGCAATTCTCCTGCCTCAGCCTCCCAAGTAGCTAAGATTACAGGAGCCTGCCACCACACTGTGCTAATTTTTATATTTTTAGTAGAGATGGGATTTCAACATGTTGGCTAAGCCCATCTCAAACTTCTGACCTCAGGTGAGCTGCCCGCCTCAGCCTCCCAAGGTGTTGGGATTATAGGGATGAGCTACTGTGCCTGGTCACTTTTACTTATAAAAAGAAAAAAGGTTGTTACTGGATGGCAGGTAAAAAGAAAAAAAAGAAAAAAGGTAACTAAATCCTTTGACCTCAAATAGTGGTGTTAAAAAAAAACGTTAACTAAAATATCTTCAGGCAGGTCCTTCAGGCGGTATCCCAGAAGAAGGCATTGTTAGCATCGATGATAACTCCTTGTATGGTACTGCCCTTGAAAACTTCCTACTGGGACAAGATGTGGAGGTGGAAGACAGTAATATTGATAATCTTGTCTCTGTGTATGCATAGGCTAATGTGCGTGCGTCTTAGTTTTTAACAAAAAAGTGCTAGGAGCAGTAGCCCATGCCTGTGATCCCAGCACTTTGGGAGGCTGAGGTGGGCGGATCACCTGAGGTCAGGAGTTTAAGACCAGCCTGGCAAACATGGTGAAACCTTGTATCTACCAAAAATACAAAAATTAGCCAGGCGTGGTGGTGGATGCCTGTAATCCCAGCTACTCCAGAGGCTGAGGCAGGAGAATTGCTTGAACCTGGAGGCGGAGGCTGCAGTGAGCCAAGATCATGCCCCTGCACTCCAGCCTGGGAGACAGAGGGAGACTGTCTCCAAAAAAAAAAAAAAATCCACCACATGTTTAATTTGTTAACTGATACACTGCTTCTGAGACATTTATTTATGAGAATACTTGCAAAATTGCGCCAAAAAAAAAATGAGTGCTTTTAGAGATTTTGCTCTTCTTCTTACTGGCTGATTTTATTTACTATTTTGGGCCTTCTGGTATAGCTTCTAAATTAGCTGTTAACAGGGATCATAAATAATTGATTAAAAAGCCATTTATGCTAAAAATTTTCTGAAACTTGGAATTCTAACTAGTAAAATATCTATGACAAATCATGAATAAATATATTAATGGTATTCACTAAAGAACTAGTCCAGAAATTAAACAGGTTCCTTCTATTTGCTGAATTCTCTCTGATGCCATAAAAGTGACAGACACATTTGTACAGATAAATATTTGACATAAAACACGGTGGAACAAAAATAATAATTCAAAATGAAGAAATATAAACACATATTCAAAATATGAGTTATTATTTACCTTAGTGGTCCACAAAGAGTGAGGCCAAAAAACCACAAGAGTGAAATAATACATCCAGCAACTGCATGTTTAAATATTTTGATCCACTATAAATGGAAACAAAAAAATTAAAAATTTCAGTCATATATACTTTGCCATATATCCCAGTTTTAAATAATATATACATAGAAAGATAATAACAAATATTTTAGAGGTGAATTACTTACTTTGAAATTAAACAGAAAATGTAAGATCCCTTGACTAATTCTAGATCTGCATTACAGTATTCTGGGCCAGGTGCAATGGTCTATGCTTGTTATCCCAGCACTTTGGAAGGCTGAGGTGGGCGGATTACTTGAGGTCAGGAGTTTGAGACCAGCCTGGCCAACATGGTGAAACCCCATCTCTACTAAAAATATAAAAATTAGCTGAGAGTGGTGGCAGACGCCTGTAATCCCAGCTACTCAGGAAGCTGAGACAGGAGAATCGCTAGAAGCTGGGAGGTGGAAGTTACAGTTAGCCAAGATCATGCCACTGCAATGCAGCCTGGGCAACAGAGCAAGACCCTGTCTCCAAAAAAAAAGACAGCATTCTGTTTTCCATTACCAATATTATTGTCTGGTGGTAGATTCTGAAATCTTTTTCTTCAGAGTAGAATTTTCTGTTTACTCAGTAGTTTCCCAAGATATTTAACTTTTTGTCTTGAAATTATTTTCTACCAGGAATTTTTAGTGATCCAATTATTTGAAAGGAGAGAAAAAAGTTAAGATTGGGTTTAGACTACTAATCCTATATTTCAAAATGTTCTTGGTTTCCGAAACAAAAGTACTTAAATTTACCTTTCTAATAAAAAAAAATTATGACACAGGTTTCTAAGTCATGGCATAAAGCAAACATGTAGTGGGGTATAACTGTTGCCCAAAGAAGTGATAGATGTGATGATGTGAGATGATTATGCAAAATGTAGTACATTTCTAGTTTGAACCACAGCTGCCTAAAGAGAATAGTGACAATGATGATGAGGGTGTCATATTGTTACAATGATGATGAGGCATTATTCTAAGAACTTCTTAAGTATTAATTCATTTCTTCCTCACAGTTCCATTAGGAAGTTACTATTACCTCCATTTTATAGGTGAGCAAATTAAGGTAGAGAGAAATCAAGTAACTTGCCCAAAGTAAGGGTCAGTAAGGACAGACAGATAGAACATGACTTTGTCTGATTCCAGAAACATCACTCTTTTTTTTTTTTTGAGACGGAGTTTCGCTCTTGTTACCCAGGCTGGAGTGCAATGGCGCGATCTCGGCTCACCGTAACCTCCGCCTTCTGGGTTCAGGCGATTCTCCTGCCTCAGCCTCCTGAGTAGCTGGGATTACAGGCACCACCGTGCCCAGCTAAGTTTTTGTATTTTTAGTAGAGACGGGGTTTCACCATGTTGACCAGGATGGTATCGATCTCCCAACCTTGTGATCCATCCGCCTCGGCCTCCCAAAGGAAACATCACTCTTAACTCCTATGCTTTGTCAGCTTTCCAGTGACATTTGTACTAGGCTCTCAGGCATACTTGCATGTCCAATTTGTAAATCTTTCAGAATAAAAAGTATGTATTAAAGAAAATAATTACATGAATGCTTTATAATATTTTTTTACCCTCTTCTGTTTTTTAAAGCCATTCCATGATCTTAGTATTTTACAGCTTACTCTTGAAGTCTCTATTCTGAAAAGACAAGAGCAAGTTAACTCTAAAATTGTTCTTCGGCATACTTAAATCATTCACGAAGTACCCATTATCAAAAAATAAGCATTACATCCTGGCCCACTAAATGAGAAGCTGCTAGGAATAAAAGATTCTGCAAAAACCTTACCTGGTGTTTGGTAATAGTTTTCCCAGAAGAAAATGGCTTTTGAAACAAAACCATAAAAAATGCAGTCCTGTAAATATTGAAACATTAATATATTAATATTAATCAATATTACACAAAATATATGTTTTTAAGTAAAGACACTTATTTTAAACAAATATACCAGAACCTGAAAAGTGTGTTATCCTCTGAATAAATCATACTGGAAAACTATACTTATTTTAGTAAGAATCCTATTGTAACATTTTGAGAACTCTTATTTTCTGTCTTCAGAACCAGTTAAGTCACAAAAGTAAAGGAGTCACATTTTAAAAAATATCTTAAAAATACCAAAGAAAATAATTCCTATTTTCTGTAAAAACCAGTAAAAATAAATCTTGAAATAGTATAATGAAAATGAAGAAATTATATCCCTACCTTTGACATTGCTAAAACAGTTACATAAAAATGCATGCGACTTGGCCGTACGTGGTGGCTCAAGCCTGTAATCCCAGCACTTTGGGTAGCCAAGGTAGGCGGATCACCTGAGGTCAGGAGTTGGAGACCAGCCTGGCCAACATGGCAAAGCCCCATGTGTTCCCAAAAAAAACCCAAAAAACAAAAAACAAAAATTAGCCAGCCATGGTGACATGCCTGTAATCCTATAAACTTGGGAGGCTAAAGCAGAATTGCTTGAACCCAGGAGGAAGAGGTTGCAGTGAACTGAGACTAAGCCACTGCACTCCAGCCTGGGCAACTGAACCACTGTCTCAAAAGAAAAAAAAAAGGTTCTGGTGCGGTGGCTCATGCTGGTAATCCCAGTGCTTTTGAAGGCAGAGGCAGAGGCAGAGGCAGAGGCAGGTGGATCACCTGAGGTCAGGAGTTTGAAACCAGCCTGGCCAACATGGTGAAACCCTGTCTCTAAGAAAAATATAAAAAATTAGCCAGGCATGGTGGTGGACGCCTGTAATCCCAGCTACTCGGGAGGCTGAGGCAGGAGAATCGCTTGAACCTGGGAGGCAGAGGCTGCAGTGAGCCAAGATTGCGCCATTGCACTCTAGCCTGGGCAACAAGAGCAAAACTCCATCTCAAATAACAACAACAACAACAACAAACAAATAAACAATTTCCTAGTCAAGAATCTCTTTCACAGCCAGGTGTGGTGGCTAGATCACCTGAGGTCAGAAGTTCAAGACCAGCCTGACCAACATGGTGAAGCCCTGTCTCTACTAAAAACAAAAAAAATTAGCTGGGTGTTGTGACATGTGCCTGTAATCCCGGCTACTTGTGAGGCTGAGGAAGGAGAATTGGTTGAACCTGGGAGGTGGAGGAGCCAAGACTGTACCACTGCACTCCAGCCTGGGCAACGAGTGAAACTCCGTCTCAAAACAAACAAACAATCTCTGTCCCAAATTACCAAAATTATACTCCCAAGAGTCTTTTTTTTTTTTTTTTTTTTGAGACAAAGTCTTGTTCTGTTGCCCAGGCTGGAGTACAGTGGCATGATCTCAGCTCACTGCAACCTCCACCTCCCAGGTTCAAGTGATCCTCCTGCCTTAGATCCTGTCTAGTAGCTGGGATTACAGGCATGTGCCACCATGCCCAGCTAAGTTTTGTATTTTTAGTAGAGACGGGGTTTCATTATGTTGTCTAGGCTGGTCTTGAACTCCTGACCTCAGGTGATCCACCTGTCTCAGCCTCCCAAAATTTGGGATTACAGGCATGAGCCACCACACTGACTCCCAAGAGTCTTTAACAGGTTTTTATTAACACAGAGGGTGGTCACTAACAATCTTGAGGTCCAAGAATTCTTTATTTAGAATTCTCACATGTAGAATAATTTGATGTTCATACTGCATGAGGACTCTGTATTAAGAATTATGTAGTGAACACATCGCAGCATGGTTTAACTTAGAAAATAAGGAATATTTGTACCAAGACAGGCCTCAGGTAACATCCTGTGCCTGTCTGAAGATTAGGCTGTGTCAGTCAAATGGTCTAGGAATCCCTAGCGTCCCTGAGACCCTTTCAGGGAGTCACCAAGGTTAAAACCACTTTCATAAAAACATCAAGACATTATCTCTTGATGTCCCCTTTCACTCTTATTCTCCCAGGAGTGCAGAGCGAAGTTGCTAATACTATAGCAGTATTGAACGCTGAAGCAGTTATGAGAATCTGGCTATCTTCTATTAAGCCAGATATTAAAATAAATTTGCAAAAATCTCATCAAAGTCTTTGTTTAGGCAAGTGTTAGAGCACAACAATCCCTTTTCTTTTTAGTCTCTTTGCACCTCTAATCTTAAGTATTCTCCCAGTTAAAAACATTTATCAAATACTTGTCAGGAGGAACAAACAAAACAAAATATCCTATGTAAAGTTTCTTAAAGATACTCTGTTAAAACAGGATTTTTAAAGAAATAAAAAATATCAAGGAAAAAAAGCCCCACACACTCACCCAAGTTTTAATATAAAAATGAACTGAACGATGTGAACCGCTTTTAGGAGATCATATGATTCGAAAAGTCCCACAGCCTTCAAAAATTTAGTGAAACATAGTAACACAATATATTTTGTTAATCTGAAAAATAAAAGCAGAAACGATTTTTAGTATCACTAAAATTACAAGCAATTTATCAATCTGGTTTCCTTAATTATAACAAGAGGTCATTACTGAACCCATAGAAATACACATAAACAATAAATGAAACAAAAGTCCCTAAACAACTCACCAACCACAAGATAATTACCACTGACTTTTTTTTTTTAATTATAGATGGGGTCTCACTATGTTGCCCAGGTTAATCTCGAACTCCTTGGCTCAAGTGATCCTCCCATCCTAGCCTCCCGAAGTGCTGGGATTATAAGTGTGAACCACTGTGCCCAGCCTACTGTTAACATTTTGAGGCCAGGTGCAGTAGCTTGAGACCAGCCTGTGCAACATGGCAAAAGCCTATCTCTACAAAAAATACAAAGAATTAGCCAGGCATGATGGTGCATGGCAGCAGCTCAGCTACTTAGGAGGCTAAGGTGGGAGGATCACCTGAGCCTGAAAGGTTGAGGTTGCAGTGAGCTGTGATCATGCCACTGCACTTCACCCTGGGCGATGGAGTGAGATCCTGTCTCAAAAAACAAACAGGCTAGGCACTCATGCCTGTAATCCCAGCACTTTGGGAAGCTGAGGCAGGTGGATCACTTGAAGTCTGGAGTTTGAGACCAGCCTGGCCAACATGGTGAAAACCCATCTCTACTAAAACACAAAAATTAGCTGGGCATGGTGCTGCATGCCTGTAGTCCCAGCTACTCAGGAGGCTGAGGCAGGAGAATCTCTTGAACCCGGAGGCAGAAGTTACACTTCAGCCTGGGTAACAGAGCGAGACTCCGTCCCAAAACCAACCAACCAACCAACCAACCAACCAACCAACCACAACATTTTGGTATATATACTTCTGGTTTATTTTCAATGTTTATGAATGATTATGTATAGATATAGCCTATTTTAACAAAAAATGCCAGACTAAAAATGATAATTTTCTTGATTTAGTTGCTGGACTATTTTGTTATCTGCTTTCTAACTTAGTAACTCGTCCAAACAAATAAGGAGAACAAAATAAAAACTATTCTGTTATGAAACAAAAAGATCACAATATTGGAAGAAACGGAAGAATGGTAAATGACTTTTTCTGGTTTGTACCTCCTCTGCCTTGCTAAGTGACTACAGTGAGAGTTGTGGTTGAAAGGTCAATTGACTGAACTTAGAGTTCTAAAAAAGGCTGAGGAACTGGAAACACCTCAGTAGGGGAATGAGAAGCTGAAAAGAGGAGTATCTCCAAATAATCAGATCCTCAGGTTCCTGCCCAGCAGGCAGGCAACCCATCTCTCCTCAACCACTATAGGAGTCAGTAGAGTCTTAGCCTCTGGCGAGGTCACTTATATTTCCTGAAGTAGACCACTCTGCTGGTTTTATAAGAGAATGTCCATGTTCTTAGGAAAAACAAGTATTTAAAGATAAGAATCATGAAGTATGTAACTTACTCTCAAATAGTCCAGGGGAAAAAAATACCTGTGTGTGTGCATTTAGAAAGAGAGAATAATTAAATCACATGGGATGATACATTAACAATCAAGGAATCTAGGTAAATATATCACTCAACTGTTGTATAGGTAAATATACTATACAACTTTTACCTAAACTTGAAATTATTTTTAAATTAGTAGTTTAAAAGCGTTATTTATTCAAGAGTGTAGTCTCTTAGGTAGGGAAACATGGTACACAATCCTTTGCTATTTTATTTGTACTATTTGCTTAGCAGAGTTGCCCTTCCATTACAGTTTATTGCAGAATCAAATTCAACTCAGGACTAGTTAAATTTTGATGGATTCCAGGTTGCAAGAGTTTTACTTTAGACTAAAAATCAAATACTAGTTTTAATCTGCAACAAAAACTAGTTGACAAATCCTTTAATTGTGGGTATTTTTATGCTGTCATTCACAAATATGGATTATTTTAAGCAAATGTTTTTATTTTGGTTTAAGTCCTCTTGGCTGGGAAGGGCAGAGGGTCACAGCTAACATTTCTTGAGCACCTGCTATGTTCCAAGTGGTGTGAATACATCATCTCATTTAATTCTTACAACAATTCTGCCAACTAAGAAGTGGTATCCTTGTTTCACAAAACTGAATCATAGAAAAGTACTTTACCCAAGGTCATACAAGTAATAAATGAGGTGGGAGTCTGAGTTGTTTCAAGCCCCATGTATAATGTCTTCTACATAGTAGATACTTGAATATTTATTGAATAAACTGAACGTGAATTACATTTTTTTTTAGCCAGAGAACTGTTGAGCTACTGAAGTAGGCAAAGCCTAAGAGGCAGGTTTGAACCTAAATCCAAATTTCAGTAATTCCAGGTTTACAGAACCAGGGTATTTTCTTTCTTTTTTTTTTCTTTTTGCGATGGAGTTTTACTCTTTCACCAGGCTGGAGTAAAGTGGCACTACTTTGGCTCACTGAAACCTCTGCCCTCTGGGTTCAGGTGATTCTCTTGCCTCAGCCTCTCAAGTAGCTGGGATTACAGGCGCCCACCACCGCACCTGGCTAATTTTTGTATTTTTAGTAGAGATGGGTTTTCACCACGTTGGGCAGGCTGGTCTTGAACTCCTAACCTCAGGTGATCTGCCTGTCTTGGCCTCCCAAAATGCTAGGATTACAGGTGTGAGCCACATGCCCAGAACAGAAGCAGGGAATTTTCTAAACCTTCACAGAAAATACCAGTGATAACCTTTGATGAGACTAGTTAACCGCAAATAATGGTTTATAAATTAGTTGGGGGGAGGAGGGTGGAGTGGGCCAGGAACAGTGGCTCATGCCTGTAATCCTAACGCTGGGAAGCCTAGGCAGAAGGAGTTCAAGACCAATCTGGGCAATATAGCGAGACCCTGTCTCCAAAAAGTTTTTAAAAATTAGTCTCCCTTTCTTCTCCTCTCCCATCTTCACCTCCTGATAAACTGAAGTTTTTAATTGTTTTTCCTTCATAAAATGAACTAGGAGTGTCTACTTATCCATATGTGCTTACTTAGCCTGTTTTTTTTTTTTATCTTTAGCCCAACAGTTCATTAACTGCAACTTTAAAAATCAAAGAATCCAGGCCAGGCATGGTAGCTCACGGCTCTAATACCAGCACTTTGGGAGGCTGATGAGGGAGAACTGCTTGAGCCCAGCAGTTCGAGACCAATGTGCGCAATATAGCAAGACCTCATGTCTACTAAAAATTAAAAAAAGAACTGGGCATGATGGTACACACCTGTAGACTCACATACTGGGGAGCATGAGGTGGGAGGATTGCTTAAGCCCAGGAGTTCGAGGTTGCAGTGAGCCATGAAGGTTCTATTGCACTCCATCCTGGGCAACAGAGGAAGTAATCTTGTCAGAAAGAAAAGAAAGGGAAGGAGAAGAAAGGAAGAAATGAAGGGAGGGAGGGAAGGAAAGAAAAAGGGAAGAAAGGAAGGAAGAAACCACTAAAATCTCTAAGAGTGTTTTTCATGTTCTATTTTTTTCTAGTACATATACATTTACTTTTTGTTGTCATTTTTTTTTTTGGAGTTTTTTTTTTAGGGGGAGGGGAGGTGGGGCAGGGTCTTGCACTGTCACCCAGGCTGCAGTACAGTGGTGGGATCATAGCTCTCTGTAGCCTTGACCTCCCAAGCTCAAGAGATCCTTCTGTCTTACTCTCCCAAGTAGCTAGAACTACAGGCACTGCCACTGTGCCTGGCTAATTTTTGTATTTTTTGTGGAGATGGGGGTCTCGTTATGTTAACCAGGGCTGGTCTCCAATTGTAGGGCTCAAATGATCCTCCTGCTTCAGCCTATATTCACTTTATACCTAGACAATTGCTGGAGGTTTAATAAGTTTTCCAGAAGGGTCCTCCCAGAAGGCTGAAGCCTGGCTTTTGAGATATTGGAGTTAAATGAGAGAATGGGAGGCAGAGTTAAGAGGGGAAACTTTTTTTAATCTCCACATTTTCAATCCAGGACCTCATCCTTCCTTTACTCTTGTAACCTGGAATCCATCAAAATTCAACTAGTCTTGGGTTGAATTTGATTCTGCAATAAACTACAATAGAAGGGCAACTCTGCTAAGTAAATAGTACAAATAAAATAGCAAAGCGTTGTGTACCACATTTCCCTACCTGAGACAGTACACTCTTGATTAAATAACGCTTTTATTTTCTTTTTTTTGAGACGGAGTTTTGCTCTTGTTTCCCAGGCTGGAGGGCAATGGCACGATCTCGGCTCACCGCAACCTCCGCCTCCTGGGTTCACGCAATTCTCCTGCCTCAGCCTCCCAAGTAGCTGGGATTACAGGCACGCACCACCATGCCCAGCTAATTTTTTGTATCTTTAGTAGAGACGGGGTTTCACCATTTTGACCGGGATGGTCTCAATCTCTCGACCTCGTGATCCACCCGCCTCGGCCTCCCAAATTGCTGGGATTACAGGCTTGAGCCACCGCGCCCGGCCTAGAGTAGTATATTCTTTACCTGGATTCCCTGATTGTTAATGTATCATCCTGTGTGATTTATTATTCTCTCTCTCTGGACATTCTCTTATAAAACAAGCAGAGTTGTCTACTTCAGGAAATTTAAGTGATATGATATATATATATATATTTTTTTTAAGATGGGAGTTTCACTCTTGTTGCCTAGGCTGGAGTGCAATGGTGCAAACTCAGCTCATCACAACCTCCACCTCCTGGGTTCAAGCCATTCTCCTGCCTCAGCCTCCTGAGTAGCTGAGATTACAGGGGCACTTCACGCCCAACTATTTTTTTTTTTTTTGGTATTTTTAGTAGAGGTGGGGTTTCGCCATGTTGGCCATGTTGGCCTGGAACTCCTGACCTCAGGTGATCCGCCCACCTCGGCCTCCCATAGTCCTGGGATTACAGGTGTGAGCCACTGAGCCAGGACTGATATGATACTTTTATCTAATCTATTGTCCATAGTCCAATTTTGTCAACTGACCCAGTAACGTCCTTTAAAGCACATATCCCCTACTACCAAATCAGACCAGAATTGCCTATTGCATTTAGTTGTCATGTCTCAATAGATTAGAAAATTAAATTTACGCTACAAAAATGCAGTTGGTTTAAGTTCTATTCCATTATATGCAGCGTTCTTCTCTTTTCCTAAAAATTGGTTATGTTATAATGCTATTACTACGGTTCTAAAGAATTCAGCCAAATTCATCACTTTCTTTAAATACCAAAGTAAGTATTCCAGAATGAGAAAAACCCATTAGAAATGGAGGCAATGAACACCAGTTCCAACCAAGCTGCAGGGCCATCTTTTGCGCATTTTGGACACTATCTTTGAAGGACACACACTCGAAGTGGTCACTGCACCACTTGCTCCCTTACTTTTGGGGTTGGTGGAAGAATTGGAGAGACAGTAAGTGGGAATTTTTACTTTTTACTCAATGAATTGCTGTGCTGTTTAAATTTGACAACGAAGACATATTTCTTATTTAAGAATAAAATACAAAAAGAAAATGGGGCTGGACTCTCTCTATGCGCCGAGTTAACCTCAACATCCAAGTTCACGTATGTACTTTGGTTTCGTCGCCTGAAGAGAGATGATGGTGACACCTTCCCCTAATTTATGCAGGGAAACGTCAGAACGCCTAAGTAGTCACCAGACTATTTCATGGAGAAACAGCCAAGAGAGGATTCTCACAGATCAGAAAAACCTCTCATGTGAACTGGCGGGCAGGTCTAAGACTGACTGACTGCCTTGAAACCCAGAAAATCAAGCAGAAGCTTTCTGGCTTTCGCGCCTTCATTCTGCAGCGGGCGCCCGGGGAGCCCGGAGGCAGCCTGCGCGCAGGGAGGGAGGCAGAGGGAGAGGGCGCGCCGACCCCGGGGCTCCCGGGCTGTCATCAGGGACCAGAGGGAGGCTGGGGAAGGTGTATCTGGAGCGGTCCGGCCGGTCGCTGCCTTCCGAATCAGTCCCTTACCGAGCGCTGGGTACGTCCACCGGCCCAAGGCCGCCGCCGCCGCCGGGGCCGGCCCGCACGTCGCCGCCGTATTTCTCCTCCATCCCGGGGTTCAGGAGCCGCCGCCGCTGCCACCGCTGCGGGGTCTCCTCATGTCTCGCCGCTGCCGCGGAACAGCGGGCACAGACTCGTCACTCCCTCATGGCAGCGGCCCCGTCGGGTTCTTGCAGGCCGGGCCGCCGCTGCCGCTGTCCCCGGCTCCGGCTTACAAGCACACGCGCGTCGTGACTAGGCCGCGGGCAGTTCCGGCGGCGCTCGGTTCCCGGGAGGCAGCGCCGGTAGGGACGTTGCCCAAGCCACGTCATCAGGCCCAGCAACCCTCACTCCCGGGGGAGTGCATAGCACGGCGCCTGCGCAAGCAGAACACTCGCCTTTCCTTGCCCCTCCTTAGGCTCCTCCCGCCACGTTGTGACGCATTGAACCCTGCCTCCTCTGGGCCTCGCCGGTTGGCGCCCCCGGTGCACTTACCTTTCCCTGCATTGCCACCTATGGGCCGTCAGAGGTACGCGGATTCCTGTAGCGCAGAGGGAAGCGGCGTGGAATGTGCGCAGCGAGATTTAAACAAAGCTCACCAGTCTTTTCCTCTGCGGTAGGGATTCTTAATCTGGGTTAACATACCCTCTGCCTCTAAGTTTTTGTGAGTGTGGATCATTTTTATGAGAAGGCCTAAAGTCTTAAAAGTTCACGCGCCCCCCCCGCCCCCGGCCCTCCCGTCACCCCATCCCCCGCCAAGAGATAAGCTGTAGAGAATTGATTCAAACAGTGTTACAGCCATTTCTTTTCAACAACGACTTTGATGGACTTCGGAGAGGAGAAACTAGTGTTTTTGGCCTTCTCTGCAACCTATCCCAGCGCAATTTCTAGGAGTGACTATGTGCGAATCTTCATGGCCTTCTCTCTCACTCCCAAGGGAACCTAAAGGCAGTTTCCAGATTTCTAAAGAAAAAATTCTTATCCTGGGCAACATGGAAAAAACCTGTCTCTACAAAAGCAATTAGCCAGGCGTGGTGCATGGCTGTAGTCCCAGCCACTCAGGAAGCAGAGGCGGGAGGCTCGCTTCAACCCGGGAGGTCAAGGTTTCGATGAGGCATGATTATACTACTGTACTCCTGCCTGGGTGACAGAGCGAGACCCTGTCTTTTGGGGGGAGAAAAGCAGAAAGAAAGAAAGTATTCTTCAGGCCGGCCGCGGTGATTCATGCCTGTAATCCCAGCACTTTGGAAGGCCGAGGCAGGTGGATCACGAGGTCAAGAGATGGAGACCATCCTGGTCAATATGGAGAAACCGGCCTCTACTAAAAATACAAAAATTAGCTGGGCGTGGTGGCGTACGCCTGTAATCCCAGCTACTCGGGAGGCTGAGGCAGAAGAATCGCTTCAACCTGGGATGCGGAGGTTGCAGTGAGCTGAGGTTGAGCCACTGCACTCCGGCCTGGTGACAGAGAGAGACTCAGTCTCAAAAAAAAAAAAAAAAAAAAAAAAAAATTATTTGTTGCCACAGGGAACCTGGGGTCATGTATCAAATAAAAGAACGTTGGAAGGTAACTGCTTTTGTGGCTTTTTTTGTGTGGGGGCTGTAGCACTCGTAACCATTGTTGTTAGAGGCCCTGGAATCCAAGTGCGTGAGGACAGAACATAAGAGAAGGAAGAGGATTTCTTTCAGGGTTGTGTGTAAACTGTTTTGTCTCTTTTTTGAAAAGTAATGAATTGGTTTTCTTTAAATGCTACTTGTGAAACTGTAATCCAGGCACATCTGTAAAAACAGATCAGATAGTGTTACCCGAAAAGGGGTCCCCATCAAGACCCCAAGAGAGCTTGGATTTCATGAAAGAAAGAACTCAGGGCAAGTCCATACAGTAAAGTGAGAGCAAGTTTATTAAGAAAGTAAAGGAGGCCAGGTGCGCTGGCTCATGCCTGTAATCCCAACACTTTGGGAGGCTGAGGCAGGTGGATCACGAGTTCAGGAGTTCAAGACCAGCCTGGCCAACATGGTGAAACCCCGTCCCTACTAAAAATACAAATATTAGCCTGGGGTGCTAGTGTGTGTCTGTAATCCCAGCTATTTGGGAGGCTGAGGGAGGAGAATTGCTTGAACCCAGAAAGTGGAGCTTGCAGTGATGCTGAGATCATACCATTGCACTCCAGCCTGGGTGACAAGAGCAAGACTCCATCTCAAAAAAAAAAAAAAAAAGTAAAGGAATAAAAGAATGGGCTACTCCATAGGCAAATCAGCTGCTGTGGGCTGCTCTGCTAATACTTATTACTTCTTAATTTTGCTAAACATGGAGTAGATTATTCATGAGTTTTCTGGGAAAGGGGTGGCCAATTCCCCAAACTGAGGGCTCCTCCCCTTTTTCGACCCTATAAGGTAACTTCCTGTTGTTGCCATGGCATTTGTAAACTGTCATGGCACTGATGGGAGTATCTTCTAGCAGCTAATGCACTGAGTTAGTGTATAATCAACAGTGAGCATGACCAGAGGTCACTTTCGTGGCCATCTTGGTTTTGGTGGGTTTTGGTCAGCTTCTTTACCACAGCCTGTTTTATCATCAAGGTCTTTGTGACCTGTATCTGTGCTGACCGCTTATGTCATCCTGTGACTTAAAATAACTAACCTCTGGCAGGGCACAGTGGCTTATGCCTGTAATCCCAGCACTTGGGAGGCCAAGGCAGGTGGATCACCTGAGGTCAGGAGTTCAAAACTAGCCTGACCAAGATGGCAAAACCCTGTCTCTGCTAAAAATACAAAATTAGCCAGGCACGGTGGTGTATGCGTGTAATCCCAGCTACTTGGGAGGCTGAGGCAGGAGAATCGCTTGAACTCAGGAGGCAGAGGTTGCAGTAAGCTGAGATTGCACCATTGCACTCCAGCCTGGACAACAGAGTGAGACTTTGTCTCAAAAAAAAAGACATAAAGAGTCTGTTCTATCAGTCTTAAGGTCTCTGTGTTGATGTTAAAGCTGGTCAGCTGTGCCTGAATTCCAAAAGGAAAGAGGGGTATAATGAGGTATGTCTGGCTGTCCCTTCTCATCATAGCCTAGTTTTTCAGGTTAACTTTGGAATGCCCTTGGTCAAGAGGACGGTCCATTTGGATGGTTGGGGGTGCCTTAGAATTTTATTTTTGGTTTACAATACAATACTCCAACAGCTCTATTGGGATTTTAAACTCAGGATGTTTTATAGTACTATGTTTATTTATTGAATTTTTATAAAAACATCCATGTCTTTTGCCTGCATCCAGTGATAACAATTGGCTCAGAGTGGGGTGGGCCAGATAAGACCAGAAAAAAGTGATAATCTTGCTTTCCCTTCTTGAAGTGACTTTCCTTTTTCTTTTTTTGAGACAAGGTCTTATTCTGTCACCCAGGACCATGGTTCATGATCCTGCTAGGCTGAAGTGATCCTCCCATTTCAGCCACCTGAGTGGCTGAACTACAGGTGTGTGTCACCATACCTGGCTAATTATTTATTTCTTTTGTAGAAATGACATCTCAGTATGTTGCCCAGGCTGGTCTCAAACTCCTGAGCTCAAGCAGTCCTCTTGCCTCAGCCTCCCAAAATGTTAGGATCACAGTTGTGAACCACCATGCCCAGCAAAGTGACTTTTGTAGCAGTTTTTGGGTAGCAGTTTCTTTGTAAAATTGCTTTTATCTAATTAGAACGGCAGCAGTAATAACTATTTTTCCAGAGCTAGTTTAGTTCCTTTGGAGCTCAGTGAACTAGGTGAAATGACATGTATGAATTGAGATGAAGTTTTATCCTAAATGGAACTTGAATACAGCTGAAATTTTTGATTTGGTTAGAATCACATTTTTCTTTCTTTCTTTTTCTTCTCCTTCCTTTCTTCCCCCCTTCCCCTTCCCCTTCCCCTTCCCCTTCCCCTTCCCCTTCTTCCCCTTCCCCTTCCCCTTCTTCCCCTTCCCCTTCCCCTTCCCCTTCCTCTTTCTTTCTTTCTTTCTTTCTTTCTTTCTTTCGAGACAGGATCTCATTCTGTTGCCCAGGCTGGAGTGCAGTTGCGTGATCTTGGCTCACTGCAACCTCTGCCTCCTGAGCTCAAGCAATATTCACACCTCAGCCTCCTGAGTAGCTGGGACTATGGGTGCATACCACCATGCCTGGCTAATTTTTGTAGTTTTTGTAAAGATGGGTTTTTTTTTACCGTCTTTGCCATGTTGCCCAGGCTGGTCTTGAACTCTTGGGCTCAAGCAATTCTCACCGTCTTAGCCTCTCAGAGTTCTGGGATTATAGGCATGAGCCATCAGGCCTGGTACCTTTTTCTTTTAGGCCAAATATAAGTACATTTCTTACAATTGTTTTTGTGGTAGAAGGAAAATTGCCTCTTTTTTCTTTCTTCCTGTTCATCTCTGAACCCATTCCAAACTGGCCTCTGTACTCATCACTCCCTCGAAGCAGCTCTTCCCCACTTATCTGTGGGGCAAATGTTCAAGCCCCTAGTGGATGTCTGAAGCCACAGATAGTACCAAACCCTATAGATACTATATTTTTCCTATATCTACATCTCTATGATAAAGTTTATAAATTAGGCACAGTAAGAGATTAACAACAATATCTAATAATAGAACAATTATAATGATATACCATTCACAATTTCACAGAGAGATTTGTTCTTACTGTAGATCTTAGCAACCTTGGCATACAGTTTTTTTTCTTTCCTTATTGAGAACTTTCAGCTTTTCACTTAAAGCACTCACTTTACAGCTTCTCTTTGGCATTTCTAAATTGCCAGCACTACTATGTTTGTGCAATGGGATCGTTATTAAGTAAAATAAGGGTGACTTGAATGAAAGTACTGCAATGCAGTGATAGTACAACTGATAACGGACAGGGCTAATAAGTGTCTCATGGACAGGAAGTGTGTACAGTTTCGCTGGACAAACGGAGAATTCATGTCTCAGCTGGGCTGGAGTGGGAACAGCATCAGATTTCATCATACTACTTGTAACTGTGCTCAATTTAAAACTTATGAATTGCCCCGGAACAATGGCTCATGCCTATAATCCCAGCACTCTTGGAGGCTGAAGCAGCCGGATCACTTGAGCCCAGGAGTTTGAGACCAGCCTGAGCAACATGGCAACACCTTGACTTTACAAAAAATACAAAAATTAGTCAGGGGTGGTGGTGATGTGCACCTGTAGTCCCAGTTACTTGGGAGGCTGGCTGAGGTGGGAGGATCACCTGAGCCCAGGAGGCAGAGGTTGAGTGAGCTGAGATCATGCTGCTGCACTCCAGCTGGGTGACAGAGCAAGGCACTTTCTAAGAAACCTTTGTCCTCATGTGGGGCATTTTACTGTCGGGTTTTTGTGGATATTTGCCTCATTCCATCCCTGAGCTTTCAGGTAGACAGATGTGATTCAAAACTCTGTTCTAAGGTGATTATTGTAATGGAGTAATGGGTTTGCAGTAATAAGTCATACTTTTCCACCAAAGGGGAGGGGGTTGGGAATCCCTGAGACTAGCTGAAGTTAAGTTGTTGGAGGAATTCCTTGATTGGAAATTTTACCTGCGTGTTTTGTGGCTGTTTCCTTAAAATGACTCGGGGATGCTCCTGGTTTGTCTACTACCACTTTGATTCCTTGGATCCCACCCATTCTTTCACTTTAAGAAAAAACAAATAATTGTTGCAGACGTCTCTGTATTTTGCAGCTGCCCTTTTGTAAGAAGTACTTTTCCCAAATAAAACAATTAAAAACAATTAAGGCAGATCGCTTGAGCCCAGGAGTTTGGGACCAGCCTGAGCAACCTGGCAAAACCTTGACTTTACAAAAAATACAAAAATTAGTCAGGGCTGGTGGTGGTGTGCACCTGTAGTCCCAGTTACTTGGGAGGCTGGCTGAGGTGGGAGGATCACCTGAGCTCAGGAGGCAGAGGTTGAGTGAGCTGAGATCATGCTGCTGCACTCCAGCCTGGGTGACAGAGCAAGGCTTTTTTTTTTTTTTTTTTTTTGAGACACAGTTTTGCTCTCGTTGCCCAGGCTCGAGTGCTATGGCACAGTCTCTGCTCACTGCAACTTCTCTCTGTCTCCTGGGTTCAAGCGATTCTCCTGCCTCAGCCTCCTGAGTAGCTGGGATTACAGGCATGTGTCACCACACCCGGCTAATTTTGTATTTTTAGTAGAGATGGGGTTTCTCCATATTGGTCAGGCTGATCTTGAACTCCTAGGAGCCTCAGCCTCCCAAAGTGTTGGGATTACAGGCATGAGCCACTGCACCCGGCCAAGACTCTGTCTTAAAAAAACAAAAAAAAAACAAAAAAAACAAAACAGGCTGGGCACGGTGGCTGATGCCTGTAATCCCAGCACTTTGGGAGGCCGAGGGGAGCGGATTACCTGAGGTTGGGAGTTCAAGACCAGCCTGAACGACATGGGTAAACCTCATCTCTGCTAAAAATACAAAATTAGCCTGGCATGGTGGTGCATGCCTGTAATCCCAGATACTCAGGAGGCTGAAGTAGGAGAATCACTTGAACCTGGGTGGCGGAGATTGTGGTGAGCTGAGATTGTGCCATTGCACTCCAGCCTGGGCAACAAGAGCAAAACTCCATCTAAAAAAAATTTAGCCAGGTTTGGTGTCAAATTCCTGTAATCCCAGCTATTTAGGAGGCTGAGGCAGGAGAATTGCTTGAACCCGGGAGGTGGAAGTTACAGTGAGCTGAGATGGGGTTGCACTCCAGCCTGGGCAACAGAGTGAGACTGTCGCAAAAACAAACAAACAAAAAGCCCTTATGAATTTCTAGAATTTTTTCATTTAATATTTTCAGACTGTGGTTGATCACAGGTGACTGAAATTGTGGAATGCAAAACCTACAAAAGTATGTGGCTAAAGGGCCTACATACTTTTCAGCTGTATATTATCTCATTTCTCTACAGCTTTCAACACAGTTGATCTCCCTGTCCTTGAAATATTCTCTTGCCTTGGCTTCCAGAATACTGCATTTGATTGTCTCAAAGGAAGCTTGAGTTGTGTCCTAAAATAAACTTACAATCTTTTTCCCAAGCCTGATCCACTTCTATCTCATTGGATGGCACCATTTATCCAGTTTAGCAAATCGAAAACTTAGTTATCATCCTTAACACCTCCCCTTTCTTGTAATCTATTACCAGGTTGCATCATTTTTTATCTTCTGTTTCTCAAATCAATCCAAAAATGTTCTTCTCCGTCACTATCAAGTCTAGGCGGCCATCATCTTTAACGCTACAATCATCTCCTAACGAACCCTTCCAAGTTTATACTTTCCTTTATCCAATCTAGTTTCCACATTCTGCCATAATATAGTAATCTTTTCCAAATGCAAGTCTTACAATGCATTGCCCACCCCATCACACTCCCTCCCAGCCTTCTAGTGTCTTTCCATTATCATTATGACAAACTCAAATCATTATCATGACCAATAACATCCTGGATGGTTTTGCCCCAAAGCACCTTTTCAGCTTCATTTCACATTAAGCTGTTTCCTGCTCGCTGGGTTCCACTAGCTCTTTTTGTACCTTCCTCAATTGTGCTGTTTTGTCTTTTGATACAAGACATTGATCAGTTTTCTACGCCCTAGAACACTCCTGTTAAATCTAGTTGAGCCTAAAGCTGCCTCTTTACATATTTTAAGTTCAGCCTAAAGGTTTATCTGTACGTCGTGAACTATTAACTCAATGGAGTTATAAACAGATTGTAGCCTACTCTTGTGTCAATCACCAAGTTTTGACCAATCAAAGGTAGTCAACTGTTCAAATTGTGTTCAAATAAGGCAAACACAGAGCTGTAACCAATTTGGCTTTTTCCATACCTCACTTCCATTTTCTGTATGCCACTTTCCATTTTCTGTTCATAAATCTTCCACCACGTGGCTGTGCTGGAGTTTCTGAGGCTACTTTGGCTCGAGAGGCTGAACAATTCATGAATCATTCTTTGCTCAATTAAATTATTTTAAAGTTAACTTGGCTAAAGCCTTTCTTTGAACATTCCCTACCTTAACATTTTCTCATTAAAACCCTCCTTATCCTTTTTCTTGCAGGCTGAGTTCTCCAGAAGCAGACTCACATGGAGTTTAGTGTGGAGAAGGGTGCTTTTGGGACTAACAACTGGGAGAGAGAGGAGAAGAAAGCATACTTTGGCAGAGGGAGAAGTCAAGAAGTAGTGCAGTCCAACAAAAGCCTCATGGAGACCTTTGGAGCTAAAATGGTCTTTCAGAGATACCTTACATTCTGTTGAAATGACTAGGCCTTTAATTAGGCTTGCAGACACTTTGAAGGTGAGAAAAGCAGAATTTATTGGATACAAAGGAAAAATAAGGGAAACAGGGACTCTCATCAGAGGGAGAATCCTGCTAGTATATAGGCTTCCCACCTTACAGATTGAACCCCAGTTTCCACCCAGGAAGAGGAGGGGCTGGGCTCCTCCTGCTGTAAAGGATGTGAACTTCTGTGGCTCCACCCCAGTGTGCAAAGGCTGGTCAGAGTTTCTCCAGGGACCTCTTTACACTTGGCTATCTCAGTAGTATGTTGGTAAATGTTTAACAACCAGCTGTTTGGGAGAAAAAGCCCCATTTTATAGTGTTTGCCAGTTTCCATGGTATGCATACTCCCACCATGACCGGTTTCAAGCTACCAATTGTGACATCGGTGAATGTGGAGTTGGAAAAGATGCACAATAGATAACCTCAAAAGCACAGGTTTGGCTGTGAACTGAATCTGTGGTCAGAAAAGCAAAAAAAAGAAAAGCACAGGTAATAGTAAAATGTAGTAAAAAATAATTAGGAAGTGATGAGTTTTGAGTAGTCATGATTTGTGTTTTTGATATAATTTAATTATAAGTTTACATAATTTAATATTTGATAATGGCTGTTTAAAACCTGTCTCAAAATTCTTAACAATTAAACTATTAGCTCCCATGAGGCAGTATGATCTGGCTTCAGCACCATGGGTGGTCACACATCACAGCATCCACCACACTTCTGACCCAGCTCAGTAATCACTTTCTCAAGGAGCCTTTCTAAAACCTTCAATGAAGATAAAATGTTACTCTCATATGTTATTAAGCTACTGTGTGCTGCTTCTTTATCATAGGATAGTTTTTTATTTATTTTACTGATAGATTAGTTGATTATGCTCCATGAGAGTAGGGTCAAAGACTATTTTACTTCTTCCATCTCTATTAAAAAATAGCTGGGTGAGATGGCTCATGCCTGTAATCTCAGCACTTTGGGAGGCCGAGGCAGGCAGATCCCTGGAGGTCAGGAGTTCGCAACCAGGCTGGTCAACATGGAGAAACCCCATCTCTACTAAAAATACAAAATTAGCCAGGCATGGTGATGCAGGCCTCTAATCACAGCTACTCGGGAGGCTGTGGCCAGTGAGCCAAGATTGCACCACTGCACTCTAGCCTGGGCAACAGAGTGAGACTCCATCTCAAAAAAAAAAAAAAAAAAAAAATTGCAGGTACAATATTTGTTGAAAGAGTAAGTGAATGATGAAAACAGAAAGTGTGTATATCTTTATATATTCCTGAAATCTGTTCCTTCTAAAAAAGAGGTTTTCTTCTATTATAAATGAACTATGTACAATGGAGTCTCATCACATACAAATTTACCATATGTGAACTCAACCATATTAACTCAGCCCCACAAAAATAAGAGAGGGAGAAAGTGGCAGTGTAAATGGTGCATGATTCTACCTAGCATTTTACTCAGTGAACTCTAGGCTGAGCATGAGATAGGATGTGTAAATCTGCTTTTCCTGCAGTTGGTCCTAGTTCCTGGGTGCCTCTGATAACATCATCTTTACCAGAATTAAGTGTGATTCTAAAAAGAAATACATGTAGACATTTGCTTTTCTCTTGTTCCATCTGGTGCTCAACTAAACAAACAGCAACAATTCCAATGACAGGAGAAAAAATAGGCCATGTTGCAAAATTATCCTGAACATTTATTAAATCACTATTGGACTTCCCTTTTTTTTTTTTTTTGAGATGGAGTCTGACTCTGTCACCCAGGTTGGAGTGCAGTGGTATGATCTAGGCTCACTGCAATCTCCATCTCCTGGGTTCGAGCCATTCTCCAGCCTCCGCCTCCCGAGTAGTTGGGATTACAGGCCTGCACCACTGGCTAATTTTATAATTTTAGTAGAAATGGGGTTCACCATTTTGTCCAGGCTGGTCTAGAACTCCTGACCTAAGGTGATTCGCCTGCCTTGTCCTCCCAAAGTGGTGGGATTACAGGCACGAGCCACTGTTCCTGGCTGAGATGGCCTAATTTAAGGGATGTTTGGGGTAATATTGCATACATGATTTTTGTTTTATGTATTGGCTTGGCACTGAATCTCCATGGAATATGAAACTTCATTGTTTTATAAAGGAACTGAAAATATAGGAAATTGGAAGAAAGTTTACACACTTAAAGCCATAAAATAAGAAACCTATCTCTAAACTGCTCATGCAATAATAGTATATTTCCTTTTAGTCTCTTTTCTAAGGATAGTGTTTTGGAATTTTAGTTTGTATATTGTGGTTCATGTACAACTTTGTATTCTTTTTTCTCCTACTATAACTGAGAAAGAAAAAAGCATCTTTTTATCTGAGGAAGGCAAGCCCCTTTAAATTATCCAGGCCCAGAGAGGCATTTAAAATGTAATAGCAGTCGCTCCCCCTTGTGCTAAATAATTACCTCTTGAAGCTGCTTGCTATGCGGAGTGCTGGACTATAGTTCAACAATGGATGGCCAATCGCTAACCAATGTTATTTCTGTAAACCAAGGTGACTTCCTGACAAACTACTTTAGTAATTGTCCCCTCCTGGTTTGTGGATTTGAACCTCTCCTTTTTTCCCTGGAGCACTCTCCAAAGCAAGCTGGAAGTGTGTCCCATGCTGCAGTCCTCAACCTTGGCCCAGATTAACTCTCTACATTAAGTTTGCTTCAGCTTCATCCTTTTAGGATAACAGAACACAGACATTTCTGTGTTATAGTAAATTCTGTATAAAGGTATGTCTTGAATTTTCTGAAAACTGTGCTAGACATGCATTTTCCTCATTATGTGCTAAAGATGATGGTTTAGTAACTATAACTCCAGAAGTGTTAAGTAAGGTTTATAAGGAGGCTGTTGTTTTGGGGCCCTAGGCCCCAGAAGACCAGACCAAACCAGAATGGAGTGACTTATGCTGAGTGCCACGTAATCACACCAAACTTTGAAATGGGCCAGTTTTCCAAAACAGTAGATTCCAGTCAACCTTAGTCAGCATAATAAGGAAGTCTCCTCTGTTTTTTTTTTTTTTTTTTTTTGAGATGGAGTCTTGCTCTGTCACCAGGCTGGAGTGCAGTGGCATGATCTTGGCTCACTGCAACCTCCACTTCTCCGGTTCAAGTAATTCTCCTGCCTCAGCCTCTCTAGTATTTGGGACTACAGGCGCACGCCACCACACCCTGCTAATTTTTGTATTTTTAGTATAGATGGGGTTTCACCATGTTGGCCAGGATGTCCTCGATCTCCTGACCTTGTGATCCACCCACTTCAGCCTCCCAAAGTGCTGAGATTACAGGCATGACCGACCGCGCCCCGCCAGTCACCTCTGTTTTTAACCCTAGAAGAAAAGTAACTATGAAATGGCCAATTTACCTTTTGGTCTCTGTTTCTGTTTTCTTCAGCCCTTTTCAGCCTACAAAACCAACCTCCTCTGCTCTGTCTACCAGATTACCCATTCTGTTTCATACGTTGCCTGATTCTAGAATCACATATAAAAGCCAATTGGATTTTTAAACTAAATTTGTTGTAATTTTGACTTTTTTTGTTTGTTTTGAGACAGTTTCACTGTCACCCGGGCTGGAGTGAAGTGGTGCAGTCTCGGCTCATCGCAACCTCCACCCCCACCGGGTTCAAGCAATTCTCCTGCCTCTGCCTCCCAAGTAGCTGGGAATATAGGCACCTGCCACCACACTTGGCTAATTTTTGTATTTTTAGTAGAGATGGAGTTTCACCTTGTTGGCCAGGCTGTTCTCAAACTCCTGACCTTAGGTGATCTACCTACCTCGGTCTCCCAAAGTGCTAGGATTACAGGTGTGAGCCACCATGCATGCCCAGCCTGTAATTCTGTCTTCTGATATAAATTAAAGTCAAACACCCCCATAGCAAATAGGCAAAGAAATGAACAGATAAGAGACAGTATAATTTAGCCTTAATGGCCGTAGCCATATAAAAAGATGCTCGACCCCATTAGTAACAGGGAACTTCAAATGAAAACCACAGTGAAATACAATTCCATATTCTTTGGATTGGCAAAACTTTTGAAGTGTTATGACATCACATGTGGTGCGGACCTTGCTCACTGCCTAGACAGAGCCGATTTCTCAAGACAGGGGAACTGCGATAGAGAAAGAGTAATTTATGCAGAACTGACTGTGCAGGAGACTGGAGTTTTATTATTAACTCAAATCTGGCTTCCTGAGCATTTGAGGAGCAGAGTTTTTAAGGACAACTTCGTAGGGGGAAGCCAGTGAGCTAGGAGTGCTGATTGGTCAGGGATGAAATCATAGGGAGTCAAAGCTGTCATCTTGAGCTGAGTCAGTTACTAGGTGGGGGCCACAAGATCACATAAACCAGTTTATTGATCTGGGGGGTGCCAGCTGATCCATCAAGCACAGGGTCTGCAAAATATCTCAAGCACTGATCTTAGGAGCAGTCTAGGGTAGGGTCAGAATCTTGTAGCCTCCAGCTGCATGACTCCTAAACCATAGTTTCTAATCTTGTGGCTAATGTCAGTCCTACAAAGGCAATCTAGTCCCCAGGCAAGAAGGAGGTCTGCTTTGGGAAAGGGCTGTTATCATCCTTGTTCCAAACTATAAACTATAAACTAAGTTTCTCCCAAAGTTAGTTCAACTTATGCCCAGGAATGAACGAGGACAGCTAGCAGGTTACAAACAAGATGCAGTTGATTAAGCTAGATCTCTTTCACTGTCTCAGTCACAATTTTGCAAAGGCGGTTTCAGATGTGAGAAAGAGAACCGACTTCTTTGAGAGAGCACATCATTAAAATTCCTTTGCAGAGGAATTTGGCATCATTTAGTAAAGTTGAAGATGCATGATTATTTGATAGCAATTTTACTCCAGGATGAACATTCTAGGGTGGTGGTTCTAAAAGTGAGGTCTTTAGGCTGGGCATGGTGGGTCACACCTGTAATTTCAGCACTTTGGGAGGCCGAGACATGAGTACCACCTGAGGTTGGGAATTCGAGACCAGGCTGGCCAATATGGTGAAACCCCGTCT